ATTTCAACCTCGTCTAATGTTAAAATTAGCCCCAAATTCGCTTTAAACTTTAATTACAATTTATGTTCGACTTCCTCGTAAATAAATAAATGACTATCGCTCTTTGCAAACTTTAATTTGAGTCATTACCTGCCAGTAAAACGATAGCAGTCGACTGACGTCACAGAATGATCTCATTATTCAAACTGCATGATGAAAAGTGCAAAATAAGTCCGAATGTCATTGTCAATGCTCGAATCAGCAATAACCAAATTTGGTAAACAAGTAATCTCGTTACGAAGAAATTTTTACAAATGTGCTAATCGTGCGCAAGCATAAATCACCATCATGTAGATAAAAATTGATGTCATCAATCTTTCCATAGATAACTTTGAAATATCAACTATAAACATTAAAATAGTGAAAAATACTTGATGTTTTCGTCGAATCTAATCTTTAATTCAATGTTTTGCTTTGTTTTCGTTGTCGGCGAATATTTTTTCAAACGCTTTGAATGAATTTCATTCGCCGGCGACGAATATTCTAGATGTGTTGGCAGGCCAGACAGTGTGGCGCGGGTGCGAATCGCGAATCGCAAACCGCGAACGTCGTACGACGTAACGAATAAAATACGAAAAGCCGCGGCACGCTCGACGTTTTGTTGGCTTCGCCGAACACAATTATGCAATGTGAACAACGGTCATCACCACAACCATTAAAAATTATACTCTCAACTTGCAGGAAAAACACAACCATACACACAAAAAGAAAATTATAACCAATGCGAATTGAAAATTTCGTGCTCATTTCATAGAAATGGTGATATCATTAAATTACGAACCTAATAATATGTTAAAACTCAATTATTTGACATCAAATCAACATATACACAGGATGTTTATTATCCAGTTGAAAGTCGAAAACTTTTCATTTAACAAACATCCGTTTTGATGTTTAAAAATATTAATATTTATTTAAGAGGCGTGAGTCATTTTTGGCAAGTTTTCTCTTGGTTTGCATACGAGTACTGGTATAATACCGGTGCACCAACATCAGGAATTTCATTCGTAATTTCCATTTTGATTCTTATTAGATAAGCCGAGCGAATTTGGAGCTCAGCGCGACTTTCACTCTTCGATTTCATTACAGCATTTAATTTAAATTAAAAATTAAGAAACGCTATTCACACACAAACACACACACATATAACTCATAAATTTGTGTGAGTTTTGTGAGTTTAAGAACGAGGTCAATACGCCAAAGCCGATATTATTCAATTTTGAAATGGGATTCGAAAACAAAATTTAGAAATAATTTTGTAATCGCAATCATAATCACGCTTTTGTTCGTGAGAGAGACACGCCAAGTGCTCAGATATAAATAAATTCACATTATAAAATTTAATCGTCTTAAAATCAATTAAAAACTGCTTGTAATTGAATTGATAGCATCATATTAATAATAGAATAACAATATAATCTAATATGCTTAATATTTTTATGTTTTTATGTCTGATATGCGCGTTATTTGTGTCATTTTGTATAATAAAGTTATTCATTCAATGCGCTCGTGATGTGGTGTCGTGTTTGAACAACTGGCGAACTGAACACCAAGCCACCAGACAGTCTGACATGTTTCTAAATGAAAATATAGGTATCGCTATCGGAAATATAGAAAATCGACTCATCAAGCGAATAAATATTGACTGATACTTGTACTTGTACGCTCGCCAGCCAAAATGTACGAATAAACACTCGTCGGCACTCGACTATGTTAGATAATATTAAATAGGTTAATAATTTTGTTTTGCTTTGTTGTTTTTTTTTGTTTGTTTGTTATTCCATTTCGTTTCATGATAATTCCTAATCAAAACGAGTGCACGCGAGTGTGTGACGCCCGATTAGTTATAAAAAACGGTGGCGGGCGAGACTAGTAACAGAAGCAAAGCATTTTGTTAATTATCACCTACAGGGTGTTCCAAAATGCTTTCACTTTAACCGCGTTTGTTGTATGTTCAAATTTGTGAAAGTTACAAGACCAAGTATATTTTGTTTGTTTATAACATAGTTTTAAGATGAGATAATGAAACATAAAATGTGAAATCAATTTTATGTTTTGTTTGTTTAATTTCACTGTGTCCGGTGTTAATTAATCTGTAGATTACTAATTATTAATTGCATTTTAAGATAATTTTCGTGTTTATGCGTTTTCAACTAATTATATTTTCGTTTTTCATTGTTTATTTATTCTGTTGTCGAATTTTATGACTTTTGACCAATGTATCCCATAAATTCATAATAAATGTGATGTGCCTTTTTTATTGTCAAGTGTAAGGACGTCAGGACATCAAAAAGTCACACAAAAAACGTGTTTTACGAGCAAAAACCTTGATCAAACACACGAAGTATACGATTGCGTGAGTTCACGCATACGCCCGAATGTAGGCCATGAAGTTCGGGGTGAAGGACATATTTCTCCCCCGAAAATTCACCCCGAAACAAGGTTTTTCCGAGTGAACTTGATTTCATGGTCCTGGGCGTGCGGCCATTAACACAGTCGGTAGTCATTAACTCCAGCAAAGTATTTCGTGCTTACATTTTCATAAAGTTTTATATTTTCAGGGTAAAAGTTGGTGTTCCAAGCACAATATAATTAATGATACCCAGCCTTAATGTAACTTTTGTTACGCTAAACTTCTTTTTCAGTTTCGGCTTACAAAAGTCGCGCTTAAATTACTCGGGTTATGTTGGTATGGTAATTTCGTGCTTTGTGATCGCGCCAGCTTTGTCATATTGCGGTAAGCAAACAATCGATAAAAACTTGTTTCTGGTGCCAGAAAAACAAGCAAAGTGATATTCGAAAATTCAATACATACAAACTTTTGATATGAATGAAAATGTTAGACTTTTTTTGAATGTAGAAGCAAAGTAATGAATGAAAACATGAAAAGAAAAGCAAAAACTTCTTTGGAATAGTATTCACGTACTGAATTTATATAGCGGTAAATTTAAATGTACGCATGCGCAACGCACTTGTTTGTCCAACTTAATAAATTCAACCGTGAATCTTCCAATTCATTGACTCCGACCAACATTCGTTTATTCACGTATTGCGTTGGTTTTTTTTGCGGCTATAAATAGTTTGGTAATAGGCAATGTTTCAATTACTTTAAATAGAAGAGGATGCGATTTGTGTCGGCGTTTGCCCTAGCGGCCTAGACTCGCAGTCCCGCTTTATTATTGTGTTTGTTTAGCAACATTTACAAAGTGTTGCTGAAATTTAACTAAAAAAATATTTAAAAATCACTCACCAGGTCTTATTATTGATCTTGGAGATGGGATACGGCCATAGGTAGATGTATCGGCAGTGTGATCTTTAAATAACAACAAAATTTAAATAAATAAAAGCATATAAACGCGAATATAATGTTTTAAAGTATGCAACTTGTATCACTCGCGAAATTATACATTGAATTCTTTTTTAAATTGCGTTTTAATGTGAAAAACAAAGTAATTTTTATTATTTACCTGAGCTTCGTAGTATTGGATGATATGTCGAAGACAAAACCGGAGCATTCATAAAAACTAAAGGTGTTGCACTGTCTGTAAACAAATATCAGTTCCTCATAACATTTAAATCATTTTTCACAAATAAAAAACATACTGTGGACGATTGTCACTGGTTGTACTGATTTGATATCATCGTCGATTGCTTCAAAGATAACTGTAAAAATTATCATATTAATTAACAATTCAAAAATTTTAAATTTAAAACTGCACATACAAGTTTCATCCTCCATCTTCTTTTAATATCCTCCAACTCCTTCCTCTTCATAAACCGCCCCCGATAAAATTCATACCCATCCCGTGGCGCATATTCCGAATTATCCACGTAATCATGACATTTCCACCTTCCTCTCCGGAACGGATGAATACTCTCCACCTTCACCACCTGAAACCGCCCAATAAATCTCCCCGGCGAGGGCATATGCGTATCCGTCGAATCGCTGGTCTTTGTGGTGATGATTTGAATAGGACTCGAGTGATTTGAAGCATTGTTCAGCGCTTGAATCGCCGCATTCTGCGCGAGTAAATCTTCCGTGCTCGACATGACAGCATTCACGCACCTTTTTAAAATAATCTCTTCGCAGGCACAGTAATCAACATCTTCCGTATATTGCGAGTAAGAAGTATCCTCGGAGAAGCTGGGGGTGTCAATATCGGTTTGCCGCGAGAACTCTTCGCCGCTATCGTCGGGCGATTCGGGTTCCGCGCGTGTACTAACACCTGTTACGACGAACGACGCCGAGGATGCGGACGAAACGATCGCCGGCGGTTTCTTGTGGTGATGCGAGTGCTGATACAGCGGTGGGAGGTTGGCGGGCCGGTGCCCGCCGACGATGAGCTCCGCTGTCGGCTCGCCACCGATGCGCATCGTTTCGCTCGTCGTGCGTTGAATCACGCGTGCTGGATTGATGTGTCTTCGCCGCGGCAGCATTTTGTTTATTTCCGAGAGGCAGTTACGCTCAATTCACGCACATGATTACGTTGATAATGATGTCCGATGCGGTAAACGCACTCACACATGCAATAAACAATTACGACATGACGTATTGCCTCGCTTATCACTAGCGTTAGTTGTTTAATACCTAATTATTGTCGTTAGATTGGATCCAGGGTTGAAGAAATGTGATGAGAGTTGGAATTGATTTTTGATCTTGCGAATGCGGGCGCGTTGTGGGTGCACTTTGCCGGCTCAGTGGCACAGTGTCCTTGCCGGCGGTTAATAATTTAGCGATTTCTCCCCCGATGCGATTGCTGCGGCGGCGACGGCCTCGAGAACACGCCGGCAAGGCAAACATGTGGGGGCGGCGAGCAACAAAAACCCTAGGGCGTTAATCGCCAACCCCGCGAAATTCAAACACATTTACAACCACTTTTAGTCGAAGCGTTATTTAAACAAACGCGCATAACACAAAGGGATTAAATTGCAATAAATGTAATAAACTTGCGCGCGTGATTAAACTGCATGTAAACCAAAGTAGCAAAGATAAGAAGTTAGGATTAGTCTAATCTGAATTTACAAGATTCACATGATGTGTTTCAAATGGTTCACAAGTTCTGAAATATAAATTCACTTCTATAATTGTTCCCAACACAAAAAAAATGGAAGAACATAAAGATATAGGTGTTGAAACAGAGTCGAAAAGAAACAAAAGTTTCTTTAAGATCAACAAAAACCTTGTGATGTTAAAAATCACTCTGTTTTTCCTATATGGCGGTAAGTCTCCCAAAAATTATTTAATTTTTTTACTCTTTTCAATTTTTTTGTAGCAAATTCATCACTAGTACCATATTTAACTGTCCACATGCAAAGCATTGGTCTAACCGTGGAACAAATAAGTATAATTTACCTCACATTACCCCTAACTACGTTCTTAACGCCGCCATTGACTGGTTTCCTAATTGATAAATTCGGACAATATAAACCCGTGGTTATCATATCCTTCCTGCTAACCGCAGCCATCCATCATGGGTTGTTTATCATTCCACATCAGGAACTCCCAAGTGTAATGCCTCCCGCGTACGTGATGAAACATCCCAAGGGGGACATTGAGGTTTGGTGGAGTCCATGCCCTAGCAGAGAATGCCCGGACAACGAAGAATGGATTATCATGTTGGAAAAGTGTAGAAATCATTGCAAGTTAAAGAAGACAAATCTTCCGGCGTATCAAAGTGTAGGAAATATAAGTAAACCAAAAATAAATGAGTAAGTAAGAAGTTTTGATGCCTCTACTAGTATTACGTTGTTATGAATGTTAAATTAGAGTAATATTCAAGTTCAACGCAATTGTCCAATTGGATACAATTGAATAATTTGTTATTCTCAAATTTCATTCCAGACCAGAAGCAATCATGATAACATTAGATATGCATCCAGATCTGGGTGATCCCACGGAAATTTTCGGCCTGGATATTGAGCAACAAAATGCTTTCTACGACTTCAAAAATCGTTTTACTGAAGAACTACTTACGAAAGCAGGTGTCAATTTTACAGAATTAGAAGAAAGTGACCTACGTTGTGGTGGAGTTGTCCTACCACCAAATTGTACCACCCTAACCTCAATTTCAACCTATTTCCCGAATAAATGTATGGTCCAAGAGTGTAAGTTTCTTCATGGTGGACCTGAAGTATGTCCACCGGATTTCAAAGAAAGCGATAACAAAACCTACTGGATTTATTTTTTTCTGCGGTTTATTGGGAGTATTGTAATGACTGCTGGAATCACTATCATCGATCCAATAGCTCTGACTATGATAGAGAAGTACGGAGGTGATTTTGGAAGAGAAAAATTATTTTCAAGTCTTGGTATGGCTCTATTCTCACCAATAACAGGTTTCCTGATTGATTTAAGCAGTGAACGAAAAGGCTACACTGATTATTCCCCGGCATTTTATACTTATGATATTCTATTGGTGATATCGGCCCTTGCGGTGTACTTTATGCCCCTAGGGACAAAATTACCTGCAGATGATATCTTCAAAGACCTCGTGGGTATTTTCAAAATGCCCAGCGTTATAATTTTCATCATTTTCATGTTCTTCCTTGGAAACCCATGGGGATTCATCGAGAATTATTTGTTTTGTACTTAAAAGAACTAGGAGCACCTAATACCCTCTTGGGGGTGACTGTTACGGTGGGTACTATCAGCTCGATCCCATTTCTGTATGGAGCTGATCGAATAACAAAGAAACTGGGCCATATCAACATAATAATCGTGGCGTTTTTTGCTCATGCTGCGAGATTGATGGGTTACAGCTTTTCGAGTAAATATAGATGGCGACAAAGGTAGGCGGGGCTTAAATGTATGAAAATTGCTGTTTCAGGAGCGCCTGGTGGTGTTTTCCATTCGAAGCGATGGAATCACTCTCCGTGCATCTGATGTGGGTCGCCGCAGCAACCTACTGCGCGATCATCGCCCCCAAAGGGTTGTTGGCTACCCTCATCGGGGTCATAGGCATGGCGCATTTCAGCATAGGTCGCGGAAGTGGTAGCTACATTGGCGGGCGGCTTATAGGCGAATATGGCATTCGAGAAGCTTTCAGAATCATGGGTTTCTCCGTAATTATATGTGGAGTAGCCTATGGTCTGTTACAATTTTGCTGGCTGCGCAAAACCACGCATCTAGGCGAGACGGAAAGCCTCGACGAATGCGGTAAACATACAATTAACTGTCGCATGAATTTTCATTTCAGAGTATACACTAAGATGATTGATGTAATTTCAGAGAATGATATCGCCAACGATAAGGATGCAAACGAGCCAAAGACACGCGACCAAGGCACAATGGTGAGCTTCGAGCGGCTGAGTCTAATCATAGAGTACAATCAGATCGGTTCGCTGACCTCGATCGGCCGACTTCTAAACAAAGTCGATAACGAGATGATCAAAGACCACTACACGCGAAGAGGTAGCGACAGCTACGGTCTATTGAAAGCACGCAGCAACGCATCCAAAATTGGCCTCCTGCGTTCCGCAATCGAAGTGTCACGCAATTCCAACTCACGCAACTCCATCAAACTCTCGATCGGACAGCTTCATCGTCATCACAGCAGCGGGAGCAGGGTAAATATATCACATTGATTGTATGTTCAAAATATTCAATATTTATTTCAATAGATCGTCGAGGTGCGCACTTCGAGCGCGCCCAAGTTGACAGCACAGAGCTTGAGCATCACCGACAGAGAGATGCGACAACTGATCCCGGACGAAACCGATGAAATCAAGTACGACCAAGTCAAGAACAAAAACAAAATGGACGCAAACGAATAGAATATATATCGGCGTGCATATCGCTTAATCGTAGTACTTAATAAAAAACATAATTCGTTCCACCTGTTCTTAAAAAAGCAAGTCCTAATGCGTTAGCAACGCCACATTGATTTCCTTGACCATCTTAACACGATGCAGCATTTTATTAAGCGCTCGCAAGTCCAGCGCCATTGTTGAGTACCACACCGGACTTTCGGGGACGCAGGAACGCTCTGGAAGTAAATAAAATACGTCGTTGCGAGTCTTCACACTCTCCGGACACTTTGAGAGGTAAAATTCGTAGAGTTTCACTGGGCATCGCAGCGGATTCTCTTCGTTCTCTTGCTGTTCGTAGACTTTTTTCTTTCGAGTGTTTGCTGGTTTAGAAAAATGCATTAACAAAAAATAGTCCTATATAAATTAAAAAACGCATGCATATAATTTAAATATCCACCAACCTTGTGCGTTCTGTGGAGGGTAAAACCTCAACAAGACGTTGCGTCCACCAGCCGCCATTTGCCGACTACCTCCTTGTCCGGGATTACGTTTCCAGTGCTTCATTATGTGCGAAAACGACAATTGCATGTGTTCCTCCACACTCTAAACAATAAAACAAGTAAATATTTGTTCCGCGTGTGTTTTGCTTGTTATTACCGTAAGATTAAAATGTTTCGTGTTGAAAAACATGAGCGTAGTGAGCAGAACAAACGGCGAATGTGCGCCCAGTTGTTTACTCTCCCAGAGATGCTCCTCCTCCACGCGTGTTACAATATAATCTGCAAGGATTAACACAATTGTTTACACAATTTGCTACTGATTAATCATTTAAACTTACGAGAATCACTGTATAAGGTGGAGAACTTTCCGCATACATCATCGAGACAATCGGTGAATTTTTCATAGAAACTATCACAAAATATATTGTCGATTCGGCCGCATTCGTACAAATATTGTTGTATACCTAAATATAGAAATTAGAATAAAATTTGTATAAAAGTAGAGTAAAACATACCTAAACACAAGTAGTAAATCGTATCTGGAGCATATTCAGTCCCATTGGGCTTGCGCACTTCATTCACAAACAAACACAGCGAATAATTTAACTCATCAGCAGTCATTTGCAATAAATCATTTTTAAACAGCTTCAATTTACGTGAAGAACGCTCTAAATCAGCGTTTTTCGTCGTCACCCATTGTTTCCACGCGTTAACACCAAAAGTATACTAAAAAATCAATAAACAATCATATTTTATTAAAAAAAGTTAAATAAATAATTATATTACCTTGAGGCACATATGCGCATCGGGTTTCTCCACAGGTTCAGGCGGGGGCGGCGGTGAAACAACCGGAACAGGCACAGAATGCATCACCGGTGGCCTACCTCGCGCTCGACGTGCTGGAGTACTTCCCCTCGGACCGCGACTACCACGTCCACGTCCTCGTCCTCGAGAAGAAATCGCACCTCGGATAGCACCCGTAAGTGGCTCAGTATGCACAATTTCATCGGAACTAGTCAACTCCATCGGATGATGCCCAGGCGTAATAGTATTCGCTTGCAAAGCTCCTTCTAGATCCACAGCGGTATCTTGGTAATCCGTTGCCATTTTCAGCGCCATTTGAAGCATATCATCACTGAACGCGCCATCGCCTTGCTCTGGGCTGAAATCCTCAACTTGTTCGTCACCTTCGTCAACTTCTTCTTTAGTCTTTTCAGAAGCAACTAATTCAGCCATCATAAGTAATTCCTGCTCGTATGGATCCCGTGGAGTTTTCACCGGTTCCCTTTTCATTGTTTTAAGATACTCGGTGGATGAATCACGTGTTAGTGGAACTAACATAGGAAGTGGGACAATCAAAGGAAACGGAACAGCCCTCGGAAGCGGAACATTCCACATGTGAAACGGTTGCGGGACAAAAATAGGTACAGGCACCGCTCGTAACCGCAACTCCTCTTCAAAATCTGTCTGAGCTTCTTGTTCGACTTTTTCTTTTGATAACTGAGTGCCTTGTTCGCGAGTCATCGTCGTCACTTGGCACATTTTATTACTTATCTCAGGCGGCATTTCTTCTTCGATGAAAATGACTTTTTTCTCGTTTGCTGCATCAGCCAGTGAACAAACGCTGGATATTTGTGGAAGAGTTTCCAATTCATTACCTAATATAATATTTATTTAAGAATTTTATATAATTTTTAAGTTATTTAATAAAAACTTACGTGATTCTTTTTTTCTTAACTTCGATTGATATTCAGCCACACAATTCGTTGAGCAAAAACTCTTCAGTTCACCAGTCTGCGTTGTTATCTCACAAACCACGGCCTCAGCCGAACAATGTTCACAAATCGTACTTTTATTGCTGATTTTCCTCAACGCAACCGAGAGTTGATTCAGACAATTCAATGAACATCCGTAAATTACTTCACCGAACAAACCAGTCCGATGAATTAAGTCAAAGTTATATTTCTTTACCTTACACCACACACATGGTATTATCCGCCTGTGCGTGATAATATGAATATACTGACACGTTGTCGAGCAGAAGAGATTAAACGTACCATCATAGTGCATGCCAAATGATTCCAACTCAAGTGTCGTTACGTGTTTCCAGCAGTTATGGCACTTGCCCACTTTGGAAGTGAAATTGTGTAAGAATTTAAACACGGTGAGGCATTCCTCGTCGCAGAGGTAGTAATTTGTGCCTTGGTAACTGAATTCTTTCGTTATTTCCTTAGTGCTATCACTACAGATATAACAGAATGTTGTTTCTTTGTTCGGGATGTAAGGTGGCTTATTGGGGGTTGTCAGCTGCACGAATTTGTCTCTGCAGGGGTAAGTACAGAAGAATTTTTGTCCGTGTATGATGATAGCTGACGCTGCACTGGACATTGCAAGTTGGCAGTAGGAGCAGAGGCGAATTTTCTTTTTTCGAGTGTCTAGGCAGGCGCCGCTGCAGAATTGTCGGATTATCGAACCGAAACGTACGGAGTATTTGCCCAGCTGGTTGTATTCGACCTTTTTCTCACATTCGGAGCACTTTTTGGTGAATTTTAACTGGTAGCGGTCTGAAATTTTTAATTTTATGAAGTTCATGGCTTGATTTTGTAAAATTTACATATTATAAAAATATATTTATGGCAAAACCAAAATAATTCATGTTTGCATCTTTTACGACAAAATAAACGTTAAAATGATGAAAGCTTATGAAATTTTGTCTTTTAAGTGCCGCCATTTTGTTAATTCTCTGTTTGTTATAATAATACAACTCCAGTAATAAAGAGAAATTTTTTATTCATCAAAACTAGTGTAAAATAATCCAAATCACCGAATATTTTAAGTTTTTCAGCTACTTAAAGACGAAAATCTAGAATTGTGTCTTAAAATGCACAATATTTAAGTTTTATGGCTCAATGCCACTTTCGAAATAATTATAATTAAAATATACTTACATAAACAATGCTCCCTGCAGAAATCCATAGCTTCCCAAGAGCATAACCCTTTCTGAGCCACAATATCCTTTGCACACTGTTTACATTTCCTCTTAAACTTCACCAAAACCCCCTCAACAACATGTAACTTCTTATCAAAGTATGCAGCCCTCACAATTTTAGTGCAATGTGGTTCCAACTTATCCCAACACACGTCAGTACAGACAAACAATTGACTGGGACTATTCTCCTTCTTTTCACTACTCTCCTGCTTTTCACTATCTTCTTTTTTATCCTCTTCAGTACTCTCTTCAACTGGAACTTCTTCAGACTTCTGATTGATGCAATATTTTACAATTTTGGATTTTTTACATACATAACATGATTTCTCCTCTTCCTTTGTACAAAGTTTCAGATCAATCTCACCTAATGGTTCAATAACATGCTCAACTTCCTTTTCTGGTTCAGGTTCTTTATCCACATCCATTTTTTCTGCATTATCTGCCTCATCACCACTCCCTGCATTTTTTTCTAGTTCAGATGCACAATCTTCTTCACTGTCTGAGCATGAATCTGACTTGTTGTCAGTTTGTGAGCCTATTTCTGAAACAGACACAGCAGCTCCTTCATTTTCACTCTCAACTTCCATAGGCTCAGGAGTTTTTGTTGCATCTGCTTCATCTGGTTGATTAGAAGAGGTTTGCATCTCAGTTTCTATCTGTGTTTGGGTGGAATTTTCATCTGGTTCATTTGTTGTTTGTTTTTCATTGTCTCCTGAGTTATTTTCAATTATTTTGGAGCTGTCAGTTGTCTGACCCTCATTTGTTTCAATTGTATTAACATCTCCTGGAATAATTAGTTTAAATTTAGTTAAAGTTTGAATAAATTGGCAAATTTTAAGTTAAAACTCTTACCATTTGTGTTTATTTCCTGATTTTCACTTGTGTTCATGGCTTCATCTTGAGTTTCCACATCCTTTGTATTTTCTTCATTTTCTGATATTTTAATAGCAGTCTCCTGATCATTATTTACAGTTTCACTTGCTTCTTTGTTAACATCCTCAGCACAATCCATACCAGAATCAGTTTTCTCACTAATTTTATCCACGTTAAACTCAAACTCCGGCTGGGTTTGCTTCTCGGTCAGCTGCTGGACATCACCGATCTCATCCGGGATCGGCTCCATGTTTAAAATCAATTGTTTATTGTTATTTGATAAGTTTCACAAACAAAAAACAGCATTTGTTTAAAAGTGAGGTTAAGACGATGCGCGACGCTTTTACACGGTAACTGCTTGAACGCGCACCTTTCTAATACGACACCGCAGTGCACAACACCCGCACGAATCACTTTAATATAATTATTACTTCGTCATTGTTCCGATGCGATGATTATTCAATTTTTAATGAATTTCGCGGATTACCGCCGATACCGCTCAAAGAACAAACAAGCCATCATGGCCACCGTTCAAACTGGACGCATGCGCAGCTGACATCTAACCACTTCCCCAGCGCTACCAATGACTTTTCAGCAATGTTTATTGGCATTAATTAATTATTTACATGAAAACGAAACCAGATACAAATACAATTTGTTTATAAACCGTTGGGGGATTAAATTTCACACATTGTCATCGTAAAAATACTCAAATAATGTTATTTTAAGCACTGTAAAACGTGTTCTTTTATAACGATTTGAAAAAAACATGATTTTTGTTTATAACAAACAAAATTAACTCTAATCTGACACAATCTTTGTGTTAATTAGTCCGTAATTTAACCCCCTATAGATTATATTACATTTTGTTTGTGTAACTCATTGCGTTATTGAGTATTTAATTAATTAATACCTTTTTCAGTTTGAACCGTTTCCAACCTTCCGCAAAACGAACATCAATAGAGATAGCTACACCTAAACGATGATTTGAGTAATAAAGCAAGCGCTACTGTTGTGTAGGTTAGTATTCCTGGGTTGCCGCTGAAGAAACGCGAACTGGCAACACCTGGCCGCAGCACACAGGCCGTCTCTGGCCAAGAAAGTGCGCACAGCGCACACCAAGTCAAACATGGCCGCATGCTAGCTGCTATTTTTCTTTATTGTTTGCCAACGTAATTTAAACGATCGAGTAGTGGTGTTTGTCGCTATCTGCGGGCAGATTGAAGACGACGCCGTGCGTCGTGCCTAGCCAACGACGAGTGGTTCGTCCAGCTGCAGGTATGTCTACGACGAAGTCATCTTCTCCTCGCGCGCGCCGCATCTTTACCGGTATCTACCCGTCTTACCGCGTGAATATTCGCTTATATTTCATCATCACACAATCAAAATCACTCGAAATCATATAAAATTGATTCATGTTTAATGTCTAAAGGGTTTTCTATACGGATTGTGGTTATTTATCGATCGGGAGATGAGATTAATGAAGGAAATAATCAGCTGAATATTCATGTCTTCAGACATGTCGCATTCATTTGTTTCGTGAAGACAACGCATTCGTTGATGTTAAGAGGTCAAGGCACACTTTAAAAGTGTCGCAAACAGTTGTTGCTTAAGGAAAGATCGGAAATTTCGTGGATTAAATGGATGCCACTGTTCGTGGGCATTGAATCATCGTTTTCTTGGCTTGGTGTCAAAAAATTAATCTCATTCTTTTGGGTTTTTAGATAAGTAACTCATTAAATTAGAAACGAGATAAATTATGATGCGTCATCCGGAACATCATCATCATTACCAAAGAAATAGGTAAGTAAAATGTTCAAAAATTAAAAACAGATGGATATTAAGTAATTTTACATTTTGTAGACCACCACCACCACCACAAAGAATGTTGGTGTCTGTCCCAGGTGGTCCACATCCGGGTGTACTCGTCTCGGTGTCATCCGCACCACCGATGATAAACACAATCGCGCCGATGCAGCCGCCTCCGCCGAATCAGAAACCCGCCGCGCCGGTTTACTACGAACCGATGGCGATGGGTGTGAACGAGTCGGCGGACGTGCAGCATCCGCATCACCAGCAGCAGACGGCAGCTGAACAACCGTCACAGCTGCAGCAACTCACAGCAAATACCACTACTTCGTCGCAAGTGCCCCACTTGGCAAACATGAAAGAGAAGACGCCGATGTGCTTGGTCAACGAGCTAGCGCGCTACAACAAGATCCAACATCAGTATAAACTCACCGGTGAGCAGGGCCCCGCGCACAAGAAGGTCTTCACCGTCACACTCAAACTGGGCAACGAGGAATACGAAGCGGAAGGTGCGAGTATTAAGAAAGCACAGCATTCCGCCGCCGCGCTGGCGTTGGAAAAGACACTCCTACGTCGCCCACCGCCAAAAACAGCGCGACATATTAAACCAGGAGGTGTGAGGGCTAATGGCGCTGGTATGGTCACACCAACAGTTGAGCTGAATGCTCTGGCAATGAAACGCGGTGAGAGAACTGTTTACATTGTCGAGAATGGTAATGGACTTCCACAACAACCACAAGGATATGTTGTGCCATATTACAATCGTCATAATATGTACCCCCAAGGCCAGCCGAGGTATAACTATGATGCGAGAAGACCTCCGCACGTGCGCGGACAGTTCCAATATGACAACCGATACCATGGTCAGTATCAAAAGCCTGGTTTTCAACCCACCAATGGTGAAGTCTGCACGGTGCGGTTAAAAGTCGGCGAGAGGGAATACCCAGGCACCGGTGCGACCATCCAAGCAGCTAGACACGACGCGGCCACGCGAGCCATCGAAGAAATTAAGAAGTTAAACGATGAGGAAGAAGATAAAACTACTCCGACTCTCAATCTCGATGAGAACGGCGAGGACGACAGCGATAACAGCGCCCTCAACGACCTGAACTCCGAACTGAAGTCGCCGATTTCTCTTGTGCATGAAATTGCACTTAAAAGACACCTGAATGTTGTGTTTGAGGTGAAGAGCGAAAACGGCCCGCCACACATGAAAGTTTTTGTTACCCTGTGTAAAATTGCTGATGTTACTGTGGAGGGTGAAGGCCACGGGAAGAAAATCTCGAAGAAACGCGCAGCTGAGAAGATGCTGCAGAAGTTGTCAGCATTGCCACCTTTACCTCCGACGCCAAACACTACTCAACTGAAGCGGAAGAGAATAGCAAATAAGAAAAAGACACGAAACTTGGTTAAAGTCAACGCGGACAAACCAAATGAAACGGCAGAGGAAATAAATCCCATTTCGAGATTAATACAGATACAACAAGCTAACAAAGAAAAAGAGCCTGTTTATACTGTTGTGGAGGAACGTGGAGCTGCACGTAGACGAGAGTTTGTTATCCAAGCGTCTGTTAATGGTGTGTCAGCAAATGGCGTTGGGCCGAATAAGAAACTTGCAAAGCGGGCTGCAGCACAAGCATTGCTGACACTACTAGGGTATGCAACTTCTTCTACACCTACTGCTACTACGGTAGTATCTCCCAAAGTCGAAAAAACTGAACTTGCGAATAATTCGAATGAGAAAACGAGAAAAGTGACGTTCCTTGAGGAGAAACCCGAACCTGTTGGGGGCAGTGGTGGACGGCAGCTAGTTCCAGGGTTGTTGATTGTTGGCGACCAAACCGCACATGTAAGATATTATATTTAAAACTAATTTTTTAGATGTTTATTTGATTTGACTTGATTTTTAGACGAAACCTAAAGAAACCGCACCACCAGCAGCAACGACGACGTTCACGAATGAAACTTCGCCGAAACCCAAAGTAACCCCGCAGAAAATTACACCGCCGCCAGCGGGCGGCGTGCGCTCCAAGGATAAACTCATGTATCTGGTGCAGCTGATGAATATTCAAGCACAATTCTCAGACTTTCCCAAAGCCAACCACGAAATGTATTTGACTTTAGTCTCGTTGAGTACAAATCCTCCTCAGGTAATTATAAATGAACCCCGAAAAAAGTATTTTTTGTAATAAAATATTTATTTACTTACTTTTCGGCAGGTTTGTCATGGAGAAGGAGCAACGATTGAAGCGTCGCATGAAAAGGCAGCGCTGGAGGCCCTCAACGTGCTCTCAGAGATGGGACTGGACAACATCGTGCCGAGCAAAGAGAGCGCGGAGGCGTAAGCCATAACTTTCTGCTTATCTGCAAGAGAAAAACAAACGGTGATCTAATTTATTTTTTACATAGGCGTTGTTCCTGATTTATTAACAATATTTATGTTTGTATTATGCGCGTTTCGAAAACGCCTTATTTATTTATTGCGTAGTTAAAGAGTTAAGCCGGAAACTAGCGAGATTTTGATTCAGGGTGAGGATCTCAGGTGTGCTCTAAACGAAAACCAACTCACACACACACTAAATTTCTAAGTTGCGTGTGTCAAATGTTTCGGCGGCCATCTTGTTTCTTAGTGATGAGAAAGGAAATCTTTGCGTGACTCAGGAAAGCACAAGTTTATTGGTCGTGCTTTCCTGAAATACTCAACAAGTAACATGAAGAAAATAAACGTTCTCGATGTCTCGTATTTCCGCGTGCGCTCTTCCAGGGCAGAGAGCGCACCGCGGGACAAAACCACCACACACTCACACACACACATTTCCAAAACTGATAACAGTAGTTCAGAATTGATAACTTAATATGTATAGGGTGTTTCAACAATGATGAAAACAACCCCGACGACACGACGACGTATTTATCTAATAATATCTGTTGTAGGGGATACGAAGATTAATTGAAGCTTGTATTAATTAAACTTAAAGTAACTAGATGTATAATGATTAAATTCCCTACAACCGACATGAAGGAATTTAAACATGGGGCTGTTTATATACCTAGATGATGAAGAAAACACAGTTATTGAGACGCCACTAATGCGCTTTTATGTATTGAGACATCCTGTATATGTATATGTGTATGCAACCAGCGACGCGAACCGAGCGCAATCCGCGCCACCATGTTTGATTCCGTTGGGTTTCGCGTCGCGCAGATTGTTCATTTCTATTATTTATATTCGGTATGTACCAATTGTGCACCGGCGCGCTGTATACGCCGCTGCGGTAATATTGGTATATTATATGTAACCACTGATGAAGGCGAAAGAGAAGATGATGAAAAAAAAAAACGTTAAGTAGATGTGTGCGCAATTCTGACCTGCTGGATGTAATTGATTTCAGTATTCATAGGCGTTACATTAACATTTGAATTTTCATTTCATTGTGCGTTTTGTAAAACATTTTTGTATCGTACACACACTTTGCGCGCTGCTGATGCGAATCCGCATGCGCCGATTACAATAACTTGTTGTTATTGTATACTGCGATGGACGTACGTGTTTTTTTTTTGTATTTAAGCCGGCTGGCGATTTTATATCTTTGGATTTTTTACGTTGATTCATCGTTTCTTTGCGTTTATTACTTGCATTATGTGTTTGTTTTACTATTATCATGTTTTGTTTCATTCTTTGATTGTATTTGCCTCGATTGAAATTGAAATCAATAAACAATGTCACAAATAATAACTTATTACTAATTCTTACCTGTAAATTTCTTGAGAACTGCTAAATCTCGAGAGCGATGCACATGGACTATTTGTTTTCGGCGGCCATTAAGAACAACTTGCAGTTCGTAATGTGTAGTGTTGGTTGCCAATATTAAACCGTCATAGGACAATGTGCGTTTAAAGCAGTATTGTAAAATATTTAATTTACACAATAAAAGATAACGTACTTGTTTTTTAACAAGGTAAACGATAAATATTGTAATTATGATGTTTTTCACCTTCAAAGCGTACATTCGATACAGTTTTTTTACGTTGTAAGTAAATTTTGTTGATTCATGGAAGTGATTCACTTAAAACGTAATTTGGAACAAATTTCAAGTGAATATTGTTGATTATTTTGACGCATTGAGGCTGAACACAACAAAATTATCTATGAATCATCTAATCGTCTATTATTTGAATCGCTAAATTAAATCAAACGTGATTAATGACACGTACAGCTATTGATGTAAATTTAGACAACCAAGCATACGCCACCATTAAGAACAAACCACAAACGGATAAGTTGCAAGTTATTTGGTAATAACTAAAGAACGCAGCATGCTACAACATTGATTCTTGTATCAATCGCTAGGGAATTAAATTTCACTTCAAATACCATTGAAATATTCAATAATTTGTGATTATTTATATAGTAAAATCGTGTTTTGCATGTTTTGTTTAAAAAACATGTTTATTACTAAATATAGCAATAAATAAACAGCAACAAACTTAAAATCCCACTCAAATAGATGCGGTAGTTAATAATAAACCAATTCTTGCAAGTAATTTAATTGTGTAACGTTTAGTTTATGAGTAATCTAAGAATAACTGAATGAAAACACTGCCAAACTTCAATTCAAGTGAACTGACTCAGTTTAATTCCTTTCAGACGTTTTTTCATGTTTGTATGCAAGATGTTCGTCGCATGCAAACACAAGGCGCGTTTGGCGCCGTCTCCGCTGACAGATGTTCATTGTCCGCAATCACCCTTGACTGCGTGCACTGAAAACGATTAAAAATGGCCGGCCGCGCACGCCGTATTCGCAAATATGTAGGAAAATTATTTATTTAAAAACTTGAATCACAAAAGCACATTCAGTTTCAGTTTAAATTTTCGATTAATATTAAAAATGACAAAAATCACAATGAGTTTTCCGTTTAGTTATTAAATATCAGTCGGTACTGGCGGTGTATACGTTTTTTATCGGTTTACAATAAGCAAAACATCTCCAAAAATCCCATCGTGTTGCAAAAGCAACAACAGCAAGCCGCAAACACGTGGCGAGATTTAATTTTTGTATATTGTTTCATAATTATTATTTTTGTGTGTAGTTTTTTTTTTGTTTTGTTTTGAGTTCTTCGAGATATACAATTACCAGAAGCCGCCGGATGAAAAACCGCCCGGTGGTACACGTTTCCGTTCTGATGCAGACTCAGTCTTTTTCTCGTTGATCTCGTTTTTCTTCTCCTCGACCTTCTTTTCGGGGGTGCTGCCGTTGGTGCCGTTCTCCGCCGCAACGCTGTTGCCGTTAGTGGTATTCTCGTTTTCCTTCACTTCCTTCTCTTGGGAGTCGACTTTCTCTTCGGTTTTCGCCGCTGGAGAAGTTCCGAAGCAGGAGGAGATTTCAGTAGGCGCATGTGTCTTGCGTGGTGCTTCCTCTTCGGGACCACCGAAGATTTGCGAGTGGCCACCGCCTGGCGGCTTCAGCACGCGGCTCGAATTGCGACCTTCATGCATACCAACACGGAATTCGGAAGACATTTTCCTATTGCAAACAAGATATTAAAATTATTAATTTCTCGTAGGTGCGGTAGAGAGTGTAGGTATGTGTGGAATGTGCAAATGATTGCGATAGCGACACCATTGTCGACCTACCTGCGTTGCTTGTTCTGTGTGCGGGTTGTCGGAATGCGAGACACCTACGGGTAGATTACTTTTGGATTTGCTTTCGGCGACTTGCTGCTGCGTTTTTGGCACGCACGAATACACACCTCAGTGGCGACTGAACCGGCTGACGAGAATGAACTGCAATACAGTGCAGCACAAACGGAACAACGACCCTCCTCGTTCTCTCAATACCGGCTTGAACCGGCTCGCGCGTTCCGTTACCACGCACGACCACAACCGAACACATACGAAACACACTACAGAACTCTACTATTTTTAACCATCACCCAATCACAGCGCAGGAAATCAAACCGTCAAAAATATTTCAAATTTAACGCCTTTACCATTGGTCAACCGGCGGAAATCGCTGTAGATTAGAACGTGTTCGTGTTGGATCGGAATCGTAAAGTTAGAATTTTAAATTTACACAATGTGCAATTATCGGATGAGTCATGGTGCGTTTGATACGCTCGAAATACTTGAAGACTACTTGAAGGAGAACGAAAACGCAGACCACAAAGACAATGTACGTAAGATTCACATTCCATAAAGTTTAAATTAGACTCGTAACTACAACATAATTGGAAGCCATTTTGTCACGAACAAAACGCACATCAATTTGTCAGGAAAACAAATGCTAATGAATGCAAATGCATGTCGATTATGTATCCATAGTTGAGCACAGCCCGTAGACAACAGAGAAATTGTTGGCCGATCGATGAATACGAAATTGACATCGCATGCAGGGCGGTAAATACATTTCGTAATTTCTACGACACCACATGAGTCACCAGCGGCGTCGGCGCCGGCGGGAGTCACCCCCACAATGTGCAATGTTCATTGCACTCGGAAACACTAAGCAGAGAAGACAGAGATGTTGCCCACAATGCACTCAATATTTCATGAACACAAATGTCAGCAAGGAGGAAAAGGCATTATCATATTAATTGCTGCAGCAACATGCCAGTTATGCTTCATTATGGTAATAACATATTATCAATATGATGAACTTTCAACTTTATTATGTTTTAGGTACTTGTTAAAAATTAGTCTTATGCAACAAAGTGGTTATCTATTGAATAGTGTTTTGTAATTAGTAGTTTCATAATAGGATTTAATTTGAAATAATCGTTACGATTGCTCAACTTTTATTTCCGTTGAGTATTGATAGTGATAATGCAACAATGGATGTGATATGGTGGTTATAAATAGAAATTCGAAGCAAAATAATGTTGATAACAATAATAATGGTAATAGTATTACATTACCAATGAAATGGGATACTTAGTAGAGAGTCAATTAGTAAATAACAGTAAAATGTTAATGTAGTTGTTAATATAGGTTGAAAATGCTAGAAATTAGGTTGTTATCATAAATACCTGCTAATATTATAGTAGATATTATTGTTTTTTAATGTTTTAATATGTTTAAGTAATTATTTGCTAAGAACTCTCAAGAATATGAATTATTTCGGTTTTGAACTTGAATTTTTTTCAATGTCAATGTCAAAACTCAGAATAAAAACAAGAAATATTAAGTTAATAAACACAAAATATCATTTCAGGTCATTTTTTGTTCGTAAAAAATATGTAGGATAGGTATAATCATGAAAAAGGTGCGTTTATCATTAAAAACATAAAAATCCTTATCTATTATGAATAATCCTTTGTGATTCATATCGGTATTAATGAAATAAATCATATTTTTGAGATTTTTTGCGAATAATTACTTAAAAGATGTAAATACATAAAAAAACAATAATATCTCCTATAATATAAGTAGGGATTTATGATAACAAAGTGATTTCGAGAATTCTCGATCAATTTCAGCATTTATGCATTATTGGCGGTTATTTCTTCATAATATTTAGTAAAGATTCGATAAGAATTGATATTTACGTTAATATTATTACCAAATTCATAAAACTAAAGAAAATGTCATAAGTTTTAATTAAAACGCAAAAATAAGTAAAAGAACATCCGATATTACTTCATTATCATAGAAATTATCAATAAAAGTAAAAAATCAACACTGCGATAATAATCCAATGAATAGTTCATGTGTTAATATTGATACGCGTTAATTAAAAGTAAATATCACCTCGTTATCCTCCATTAATGAATTTAATTTAATTCTCTTTCATCCTTTTCAACGTTTGAATCAGCGCGCTTCTATTTTTAGCTATAAAAAATAAATAAAAATTGAATTCTCTTTCACTGCGAAACATTTCCATCCGAATATGATATATGCAAGCAACATTGTACAATATTCACTGTTCCCCGTTCATATCAGAGTGAATATCATACCGGTTGTTAAATTGCAGCTCTGTTTGCATACTTTATAGCGCGCTATCGTTTTATCAAAGCGGGTGTTGTTCGCAAAATGGCAAAAATGTAATTTTGCTGCGCGAAAGAAATCCGCTGCACGCACGCGAAACAAATGAAGAGGCAATTTCGCCGCGTTTTGCGAGATCAATAATTCAACCTGACGCTAGCCACCACCACGTGAGCGGGTTACCACCCCCCAAAAACACACCGACCATGTTGTATGTTGTCTGCATGGAACATATTTTTCAGGATTAGTGAAAAACAAACAGAAATTTAATTAATGTATTGATTTTAGAAATTTTGCAGAAAAAGATTAAAAGATTAGATTATAATGAGTGAAAAATTGAATTATTGATGAATTTAATAAGTAATCACTTTGGATGCTTTGGGATTATTAGGAAGTTAAAGTTTCCTGTGTAAATGCGATTACTGCTTTCCAGCGATTTCCGCAAACGTTGAGAGGGTTGTGTGGTTGTATTGCAGAGGTGGCATATGCCAATGAGAACCGATTGAAGAGTGGGAAGCGGCCAATGAAATTCGGCTCACTGCGCATTTGACCTGCTTTCGATGTGATACGCAAAAAGATTGCAACTTTACTACGCAAAAACCCTCTGCCACCACCAAGGAATGCATATGTGTGAACATTTTGTTTCAGCACCTGCAGATAAACAACGCAGCACGTACGTTTGGTTGCCTACAATGTAAGTCAATCGAAGTGGGTGTGAAACGTGCGGATTCGTATGAATGTGGGATTTGCGCTGCTGTATTTTAATTGAATTCCTTTCTCTCGTTGGGTTTGTCTGCGACGCCGCGGCGTGCAATATTGATGCCGCTCGGCGGCGGCGCAGAGTCCGCGATTTTCCGCCTGCTAGTTGCGGAAAAGCCCGCCAGATGCGCGACGCCGTGCACCGTCCACGACGAAATCCGCGGCGAACAACTGCCGAGTCGTTACGTGCGTGTCCTTGGCGGCTCACTCTTGCAATCAGCGCATTACTACGCCGCGCCGCTGCATAACAAACCCAAGCTGAATCATTTCGTGCGTTTTGTGTCTCTGTAGACATAATGCGCGCGTGAATACCGTCGACGAACTCTCGCAGCAGCAGCAGCCAGCTCGTAATACACGCCAAGCGTACACGTACCGCGCGCGCCACCGTATCCGTTCAGCGGTCGAAAGATGTTTTCGGGTTTAACGAATCAGGTCAGCTCCTGGATGGGCAAGGGCGGTGAAGCACCACCCGAGGAAGGTAAACTACCAGAGGCGGCAGCCGCCGAGCCGACTCTCGATGGAGACGTAGCGAATGCTGCAACTACCAGGTAATAAACCCAAAAGCAGAAAAAAACACTTACTTTGTATGTCTTGCTCTCTTGCTGACACAGAAATCTGAATTGATTTTGATTTGATATCAAATTATATCTGACTTGTCACACACACTTGACACTTGACTGCAAAAAATCAATAGTGCTCATTAAAAATCAATTTCAAGGTTACTATTGTCAAAAGTTGTAGGTTAGCTGTGGTGTGAGCTGTTAATTGGGTTGCATAAGACGCATATGGGGCTTTTTTTTTTCGTCGAATAAATGATTAAATTTAGGCGATTCGACGGCGTAATTTGATCACTCGTACGTGTTTCGGCTTTGACGGCGGCGTCAACGTCTGAATGTCGTAACAGGCGTCTAATAGGGTCAAAGAAATTCCGAAAAATCAATATTAAATACAGACTGCTCTGGAAAGTAGAACATCTGCATTGTGTGATTTTAAACGTTGAAAACACAAAAAATGAATGAATTTTCGTTTCCAGCCCGACGAAAACCAGCAAGCTGGAGATGTTCTCGAACGTAAAAACGCAGATTGGCGGAATTGGCGGCTGGATCGGGTCAAATATGCCAGCAATGCCAGCGATGCCCAGCATCCCCAAGTTGCGCAAGGGTGAGGGCGACGCGCCCCCAACCGATGAGGCCGCGCCACCCGCGGAGGGCGACGCGCTTGTTGATGCCGCCGCCGCCGCCCCGCCAACGAAGGATGACGACGACAACTCCAGGCAAGTATATATCACGACGCGCCACGCACTCACCACCCTGTACAATAAAAAACCCTTAACATATACAACTAATGGTGTTTTTTGTTGTTTGCGTGTGTGTGGTGAGTGCGACGAGTCCCCCAACTGGCTGCTCGCTCTTTTGTTTTAGTGGTCGATGTGTGTGTGTAAGTGTATAACCTCAAATCTGGACTTCTTTGTGATTTTTTGTGATATCATGCATCTCGCCTCCTAACCTAACCTCTGCTGGCCCCCCCCGGCTCTGTGCGCACGCCCATCCCACTTTTTCATAGCTCTCATTTTTAGAACATGAACGTGCCTGTGCTAGATTGTCGTGCTCTCGATGTCCTTACAAAATAAGTAATAAAATTTGTTACTCCCGGCTTTTCAGCGCCACCGGCGGAGCCGACTCCGGGCCCGGCACGCCGCCCGAGTCGCCCACAGAAGAAGCCAAAGACGGACAATTTGGCAATGGTAAGCCTTCCACCACTATTATTATCAATCATATGATCAAAACGCATAAAACATGTCGAGTAATGAAATTAAAACATTCATTAACCCAGTTTTTTCAAGATTTAGGTCAATTGACGCATTTTAAATTAAGCATCCTATCGATCTCGCCTCATTACAACCCCATGGCGTCATCAGAAACAAAATGTTTGCATTATTAATTTTTAATTTTGTTTTTTCCTTGGGAAAAATTAGTGCAAAGTAAAGCATTGGCCGGAGCCAAATCGTTCGGTAGCTTCTTGTACTCGGCGGCAAGCAAGGCCGGGGCGAAGGTCAGCGAAGCGGGCGCAAAAGTAAAAGAGGCCGTTGAGAAGAACGTAAGTTGATAAATCATAAAGAAACCAACAATATAGTTAATTTCACGTTTATCATTAGACGATTCTCGGAGAATTCAACAAGGAGCAAGAGGCATTCGCTGCAAAACAAGCAGAAAACGCAGCTAATTCTCTCCCGCCATGGACGGGCTGCACCAATGAGGAAGCACTCAAAGAGGAATGCCTCAGTCTATCCACTGACAAGCGCAACTTTGTGCGCAGTCCTCCGGCGGGCGTTGACTTCCACTTTGATTACGATGTCTCCTATCCGGTTGCTATGACCATCATGGAGCAGGATCCGAATTTAGAGAAGATGCGTTACGAACTTGTGCCTAAAATGTAAGAAAACTGTATTATTTCATTGTACATTAGATTATTTTATGTTTTATTTTCATTAGCATTACGGAAGAGAACTTCTGGCGGAATTACTTCTACCGCGTGAGCCTCATTTGTCAAGCAAACGAGCTGTCGTTCATGTCGCGTGAAGGCGACAGTCAGTCCGGCGAAACCACCTCCGATCAGCCCCTAGGTGAGTCAAAATCATCCTCTGCATCCGAGTAGATCACTGCATCAATCATCAATCATTAGAAACAGTTGTAGTTGTATTATATTATAGTATTGCTTATATTTTGTTTGATTTCGTTAAAATTTTTGTTTTTATTTGATTTTTCGATTGAAAAAGATACAAAAACCAACGAATTCATATCAGACACGATGAAAGTGTCCACGCAGGACCTGGCCGAGGTACAGGAAGGCATGCGTAAATTGGCATTGGGGTCGAAAACGGGGGGTAAGTTTGTTCACTTTGAGTTTTAATTTGATTTGCGTACTTATTTTGCTTGGATATGATTTCATTCGGTTTTTAATTTACTAATCTGTTGTAATACATCACCATCACCGCATAATATCACCACGTAGCTTCAACTAACGACGAAAGACATACTACCATGAATGTGTGCGTGTCCTAAATGTGCTGATTGATCACTCGCCTAATTTCATCAGGATCGTCACAAGACGTAAGATGTGAACCATTCCAACCTATATGTGGTGTATAACTGGTTGCGTGCTTCTGGCGATCCTGTGATTAAACATACATAGACATATAATATCGTATACTAAAGTTAGTTTCCTGTATGGTTTTCTGACAGCTTAAAAGAAGATTGGGCAAGCGAATAGTAGCTTCCATAAAACAAATCTCTTTATCTTCCTTTGAACTCTTCGGTTGCGATTACGTGCGATTCTATCGGCAAACCCAATGCAAAAACATACAAAACAAACATCACGATGATGATACAGCTGCAAAACTAGAAATACAAATAATTGTTATGGCAATTTCATCTCGAGATTGGACAAAATCTCTACTTTGAAATCATGTAAATGTGCACACTGACGATACACACTCACTGGTTTGATTCGAAATTAGTTGTGTCAATGACAAGAAAGGATCTCAAACACACAAAAAATCTTTAATCTAAATCTCTGAACACACACACACACACACATGTTTTGCTCGTATATATATAAAAAAGAATATATACATAAATATCTGTAAACATTCCTAGCGTTAAATTATTAAAGTAAGGAACAGTATTAACATTACGTACATATTTGTATGCGGTGAGTGTTTGCTCGAAATGTTTGAGTAAAGATGTTGGCAAACGAACGAATACATTTTGAGAAAATACTCGCATTTGGTGAAAAAAGGTACTAAATTTCATTTCGTCGACAGAAACAAAAGAAAAAAAAAACATAAAAAGTGAGGTTAAGAGAAGTAAATATAAATGTGGTAACGCCACTGCCACATCTGTGTAGATTTATAAGTGGGCTTCGTGTTTCATTAATTTAGAAATTGCACAACTGCACAATTCACGACTTAAAACTAACGAAAATCGAATCGGATGGTGTAAAATATGTAAAAACAGCTTTGAAATAACCACAAAATGGAGGTGTTTAACATGTACAGTAAAGAAACATATCTCATTTTTGCTTTTTTGAGGTTAAATTAACTGAAACACGAAGCAAAAAGGTTGGAACGTTGCTCATCACGACCTCGAAACCTATATTAAACCAAAGAAAAACGTCTTGTTGTCAATAATATAAATATTTCTCATATAGTCCTTAATTGAATCTATATAAAAAAATATCTTCTTCTATGTGGATGTGTGTGTGTCAGCAACTAAAATTTGGTCGTGATGAGCATGCAATGAACGAAGACGAACACAAAAATATTAACAATGAAGATATAACAAAATCTAGCTTAAAGAAATTGACAATATCGGTCTGTCTGTTTTTTGGTAATGTACTGTTGTAAAAAAGAATTATAAACTCAAAAAACACATGGTATGTGCAAAGTTACGAAGATGATGACGTTGAAAAATGTAAATATTATTTTATGAAGACGCAAAAATGTCAACGGCCAGATGCTCTGATTTGTTGCGCGCTTTGATTGTTCACTCTTAACCAGCTCGATGAAATCAAGTACAGGAAACTAACACGAATGGAGCATCTGGCTAATATACAGATTTATGAAGAAAAAATTAAACAAAAACGTTGATTATATCCAAGTCTATAAGATAATACGCAGATGAATTGTTTTCTGTCGCTGCTAGCTTCTTAAGCAATACGATTTTTCGATTTCTGAAAGCGGCGTGTACCTTTAGTTGACTTATTCAGCCTTCTAACGAACTTGCACTAACGATTTCTTGGTGGTGTACAACGTTAAACATAAATTTAATCTTAAGTTAATTTTAAAACGTTTAATTTTACTTAACTTTTGTAATATTTTTATTCTTTTTTTGTTTTTGGCGAATGTCTTGGCATTGCTTACCTTTACGCTTTTTGTTTTTGATTTGTTTATATTCTTTCGACGCGCAGAAGAGGAATGGGAGAAGGAGCTCGAAGCTGAACTGCAGGATTACGAGGTGGTCAGTGAGCACAAGTCCTCCAGCTCGAAGAACGACAACTGGGAGCAGGACATGGACGATATTCTCGATGATGAAGAGGATTTGAAATAGGCAACACACATTCCACGATGAATTTGTTATGAGTACGCGTACTTAGACACCGACTGAACGACTGAATAATTTTATGCTTTACATTCTAATATCTATAATCTAGTCATGATGATTGTTTGAATCTTGTAACCACCAGGATAATATTGTATAAATTACACATTCGATAATATCTTGCATTTATGCATTTACTACGTACACGTAGGGATTATATATAAATATTATATTAAAAAAGTTGTAAGTTATAAATTTAAGGCTGTTGATGAGAGAGCAAATCCGGTTATTGTTTTTGTAAATAAGCGCTTTTAAGTTTTTGATCCATTGGTTGAGAGTATGGAAAGCACACGCTCTGTGTGTGGTTTTTTGCTCTTTGCTGGTTGTTATATTGTCACACACATACACGCTTTGCGTTGTTTATTGCGTTTGTTGCATTCGGACAAGTTGTATGTTTTCTGTTGCGCGTCCCTATGATTGTTGATACACGCGCGGATTGCGTTCACAAAAGAACCCCACCAATACCACATCCCTGACATCCTTACAATTGCGAAAAATTGAACATTTTTGCGAGCAAATCTTAATATATATACATATAATATATATATTTCGTATTTAATGAAATGTCACATTATAGTACGTTAGGATATAGCCTATGTGTGTTGAGCATGTATTTAACCTGTATTCATAATTGTTATTATGCATAACAATTGTTAAATAAATGTAGCATATATGCCTATCTATCATTTCATTAGTTTCCTTGAACTTGGTTTATGGAAATTGAATTTTTAAGAGAAATTTGAAGTATAAACGCGAAAAATGAATGAAAGAATGATTTAGAGAGCTTCTACTTCACTATTGGACAGCTTAGGCATGGCTGAGTATTGTTCGCACCGCGCGAACGTGCTGACTACCTGCAAAAAGTGGTAGGGGTAACCTGATGTTATTTAACTGATTGCGTGCTAGGCAATCAACAGTGGTAAGGAAGAGGATAGTTTTTGAGTCATCCTTGTACAATGCAGGAAAAAATTACAAAAGAGTCTCTAAAACGCTAAAGTTGTTTCAATTTTGGCATTTCTACCATTTTAACCTAAAAAATAAAGAAATTTAATGATATACACAAAATATATACCTTTGAAGTTGTACTAAACTTGTTTTTTCACTTGTAATATCTCAAAACAAATCAATAACCTTTCTATGACTATCGAATGTCCGAAACAAATAAGAATATTACACTTTCTCGAATTTCCACGCAACCAAACATACACCTACGACTTAAAATACATAAATTTATAAAAAATACTTTAATATAGTACTAATATATAGTAACTCTACATATCAAATACCACAACAACTTGTATATTTTACAAAACGCAATATAAGGTTTCTTTAGGTACCTACCTGCGCACTTACACACGAAGGCAGCCATATTGGTTTCACTATCAAATTACACATTCTTTTTTTTCCGAGTTTTTCACTAAACATCCAACACACAAGTCAGTCGTACATCAAATCCAAACGAATAAAGTTTATTCCCTTAATTTTCTTGCTGTGTTATCTTAAAATGTACGATGATTATAGTGAAACAAGCGGATTAACTTCCGGTATCCCTCAACCTACATACACATTCGAATCAAGCGTAAATCGACAAAGAAAACGACAAGTTAGACAATTCCAATGTTGCGTGTGTACAATATTCCTGTAAGTAAAAACAAAAAATAATTTTTCAACAAAATTTTCTTTAAAAATTAAATTTCAGGTCCATTATTGCTGTAGCAATTGTAATGTCCATAGCTTTCAACATAAACCACTATCCATCGAATGATAACAGTACAACAAACGACACAGACGTGAATTTTATCATTTTGATCAATAAAATACCTCTACCAGCCTGGAATGAGTCAAAATCCCATGTAAAAATCAATGAAGATCAATACAAAGAAGCAATTAATGCTGGTAAGGAAGCTTTACGTAAACGGGACCTCATTGAAGAAGAAACACCGGAATTAGACAAAGATTCACCGAGCTACAAGCATCAGAAAATTGTCTACACAAGTTGCAAAGCCAGAGAATACGGAAGAATTGGATATGCTGAAGAAAACGCTGCAAAACACCTTAAAAAGTAAGTTTTACATCTCCTAGTACCTATCTATAAACAATTTTATATTTTGTTAATAATTTTAGCATTTCGAACTTTCATCCATCATCCCACAACACAATCTGTTACAATATTTCTATAACAGAAGAGATAGATTTCTGTAACACACCAAAAACAGTCTGCGACAATAAATATAGAAGTTTTGATGGTACCTGCAACAATCTAAAGAACCCATCATATGGTACCTCGTATAAATCATTTCGAAGACTATTAAAACCTGTTTATGCAGATGGTATAAGCTCACCTAGAGTATCCATCGATGGATCCAACCTACCTTCAGCCAGGAAAGTCAGTTTAACCGTCCACAGACCAATTTATAAGAATGATCCGGACTTTACAATAATGCTGGCTGTCTTCGGGCAATTCCTGGACCACGACATCACTGCAACCGCCTTAAGTCAGGTGAAAATGGTAAATCTATATCCTGCTGTACACCAGGTACCCAAACACCTCACCCGGAATGCTTCCCAGTGATATTGGACCATGAAGATCCTAATTATAAATCGCTAAATGTAAGTTGTATGGAGTTTGTGAGATCTTTACCTGCACCTACCTGCTGTTTCGGGATGAGGGAACAACTCAACCAGGCGACTTCTTATATAGACGCTTCTGTTATCTATGGAGATGCAGAAGTGTCCCAAACACTTAGAAGTTTCTCAGGAGGTAAATTAAAGATGTTTACAACACCAGATGGTAGAGAACTCCTACCACCTTCTGAGGATCTAGAAGATGGTTGTAATAGAATGCAGGAAGCTGCAAAAGGAAGATATTGCTTTGCTACTGGTGATGGTAGAGCCAATGAGAATCTACATCTTACTAGTATGCATCTATTGTGGGCTAGACAACATAATCTAATAGTTGGGGAGCTTGTAAAAGTGAACCCACATTGGGATGATGAAAGGTTGTTCCTAGAAGGGAGGAAAATCATTGGAGCTCAGTTAGCTCACATAACATACCATGAATTTCTTCCTATATTACTAGGGAGGTCATTAATGGACCATTTTGAGTTGTTTCCTGGTGATTCAACTAAAAATCAAAATGGACGATTTTATAGAGGTTATGATGATAATGTAGATGCTTCAGCTTCAAATGTCTTCGCCTCTGCAGCATTCAGATTCGCCCATACTCTAATCCCATCACTAATCAGGATGATAAACAGTAATTCTGATGAATTCATTCAACTGCGAAAGATGTTACTGGATCCATTTGAGTTGTATGATAATGGTACCATGGACCGTGCGTTAAATGGCGCTGTGAGAACACCCATCGAGGCGAATGATCCGTACTTCTCTAATGAGGTAGATGTAGATATTATTATTGGATTATGATCGGGAGTGACGTGTGATATTTAAGTAAACTTTTGGCGCACGCCATTTTTAGCTAAAGCAGCACATGTTCACCGCGGGCAGCAGGCCGAAGCTGTGCGGATTGGACCTGGTCTCGTTGAACATCCAGCGAGGTCGCGACCATGGTCTGCCGGGGTATACCAGCTGGCGTGAGTATTGTGGCTTAAGGCGCGCGCGCAGCTTCCAGCAGCTACGAAACGATATTGATGGTGACTCACTCGAGCGCATAGGAAGCGCCTATAAGTAAGTTGACTTAAAACATTTCAATCAGGGGATCAATCATGCGTGATTCGATGTGATGTGTGATTGATTAATTTGCTAATAGTAATAATAATAATAGAAAGAAACAAAGTCAACACGTGTTTAGTATAACTTTATTTGAGCACTGATACAATACATAACCAAATATGGTCAAAGAGATTTATTTTTTAGTTTTTATGATTTAAGCGAATATATTTTTGTTTTTTCGGGTTTGTGAATGTTGTGACTTACATTTTTGCACACCGTGCAACTATTTATAAAGAGATGACGTCGTGACCCATTTGAAAATTTGAAATTAGAGCAAACCGCTTTAAATAAAGGTCTAACTGCTAACGACGTGCATCGTAAACCGCACAGCGTACGCATTTTTTTATATTTTCGATTCGCCGACGATAATGCGACCAAAAAACGCGCCCACTTGTGTGTTGTATGGTTTTTTATTTCGTGTGTCGACATCCTACGATTACTTTTCTTATTTATCGCCCGGCGTCGGAATGAATAAGCTTTTATTTTTGTTTGTTGGCTTTGCAGACATGTGGACGACATTGATTTGTACACGGGAGCCATCAGTGAGAAGCCCATCAAAGGCGGCTTCTTGGGACCCACTCTGACGTGTTTGATTTTGGACCAGTTTGTGCGTTTAAAGCGCGGCGATCGCTTTTGGTATGAAAATCCAGGACAATTTAGTATTAAGCAGTTGAATGAGGTTAGGAAGAGTAGTCTAGCAAGGATTATTTGTGATAATTCTGATGGAGTGGGGGAAATTCAACCGGAAGTTATGAAAAACACTAAAAATGGTAATAAGAGAGTTAAATGTGAAAATATTGCAAAGGTTGATTTCAGTTTGTGGCAGGAATTGAAAAAAGTTCCTATGAGTAACGATCAGATTAAAGTTGTAACTATTAGGAGCTTGTAGTGATATAATATGGCAGATTTGTACCAAACATAACCTAATATATGTAATTTTATGATAAATCAGTAAAATATATGTTTTATTATGAAAATCTAGGATAATTCACTGTAAAACTATTAATAAAGGTGAAAACAATAGTTTAACAAGAAATATTTGCAATAATTCCGTTGAAATTATCGAAATTGAACCGGAAATTATGAAAAACAATAAAAATAGTAACAAAAGAGTATAATATGAAAATATTCCTACAATTAATTTTAATTTGTGACAAGAATTGGGTAAGATTCTTATGACAAATGATTTGTAGCTTGTAAGATTATAAAATGGTGGATTTATAACAAACATAACCTAAAAGATGTAATTTAACAATAAATTAGTGAAATTTATCTTTTTATATTAATTTTGTATAAAAATCAAAGATAGATTATAGCAAAACAGTTAATTGAGGTTAAAAAGAGTAGTTTAGCAAGAATTATCTGTGATAATTCTGAGAAATTCAACCGAAACTTATGGAAAAACACTAAAAACGACAACAAAAAAGTAAAATCATTAAAATATTCCAAAGATTAATTTCAATTTGTGGCAGGAATTGGATAAGATTCCTATGAGTAATGATTCGCTGCTTTTAAGGTTATTAAATGGTGAATGTATACCAAACATAACCTAATAAATGTACTTTACTGGTTTTAAAATGTGTTGTAGTGAAATAATCGAAAGCTTCTAGACGCTGTGAACGCAATTCGCACTCTCATACTTTTGATCTCAGTAGAAAACCCTCAGTCAAGGTGCATGAATGAGAGTTGTCCGCGTTAAAAATAGCGGCGCGTTGCCTCATAAAAAAATACCACTTCAAAATATAAACTGGACACCAACAAACAGAAACAAAACAGTCTACATCATACGCAAGTCGCTCTGCGCTCAATTCACCAAATACGTAAAAGTATCAAGGCCCGCACAGAAAAAAAAAGAGTCATGTACTCATGTACAGATCTTATAACTCAACTCATGCATCGCGCGCATTTATTTACAATAATTTACAGCAATGACCGTCATCATTGAAAAGACAATCGGCGGACGAAATAACACTGCATTCTTTTTTATGATTATTACGCACTAACCCGCGCGTAGTGAGTATATAATTCTGCGTTGGCGTCGTGTTCGGGAGCGCACACGCGATGCGATGAACGCGCATGACGTCAACTCCATACTGGCGGCTGCGGCCACGCTATTTTAGGAGCGATTCACACACCGGCGAGGTTCTGGCATTGAAGATAACTGAATTTATACGCGACCCGGATGGACCGCCACCAAACAATGACTCACAATGTCATCTTGGTTGCCTACTGCATACCACATAACCTATACATTTGAAAATAAATCGTTTATTAACATACACAATTACAAATTGTCATCATGTGCGGTTGTTTCCAGCAACAATATGTATTGGTTTTTCCAGTTGTGTTAACCTCGAATCATGAATGTATGTACATGAAAATACGCTATCTAAGTCGCCCGCTTCTATCACATCACAAAGTATCTTATTAAAGTATATATACATTAAAACAATAAGTAAATAAATATATATATATGAATTCAGTTTGTCAACAAGTTATTGATTTTTGCGTCTCCGCCAATTCCCTAAGCGCGTTTGTCTGAATTAATCGCAGTCTTTAATCATAGTGTTATCGACGCCGTTCGAATTAATTAAGTTATGAAGCACCAACGACTCCTCTCGCCACGCTGCACTCAAGTTTGTACTAGAACGTACATACACGTGTAAATTATTTTTATGCGGCGTCGAACTCGGAGGAGAGTTGCGCGATCAATTTGCACACCACACCACCACACGCCCGGATTCAATTCGGCAGCGTGTCGTAGAGGATATCCTTCGCCGATTGCGACAGATGGTCGGGGAACTTGATCTCGAAGTTGATGATGAGATCGCCCTTGCGTGATGGTTCCTTCGGCAGTGGTAAACCGTAACCTTGGATGCGTCGAACTGTATTCGGCTTGATCACCTCGTTGGTAAAGTGCAACGGGATGGACTTCGATGTCATCGTTGGTACTTCCACCGTGCAGCCGCACAACGCCTGAAAATAAGCAAAAAAATAAGTTTCTGTTTATTTAGTTGTCCTCTATGGCTATTCTTAGACCACACCCACCTGTTTTAAAGACACTTTGGCCGTGTATCTAATATCGCTGCCTTCGCGCTTAAACAGCGCGTGCGGTTTGTCCCGGATGATGAATACAATGTCCGCGGGTATCTTATTTCGGCCCTGATCACCTTCCCGCTGGAATGTGACTTTGGTGCCCGCTTTCCAGCCGGGTTTCACGTTGATCGTCAGCACTTTATCTTCCTTTTTGAGTGTGCCATCTGCCTGCAGAACTTTCCGACTGATTTTCATCTTTTTCGTGCATCCTTTGGTCACATCCTCCAGGGAAACATACAAATCATGCTCGATTGGTGAGTCCTGCATCTTGTCCTTGCTTCTGTTGGGGCTGTTGTGGATGTTGAAGGAGTGTGAACGGAATGCGCCGCCTCCCGGTCGTGGCATGCTTCCCATCCCGCCTAGATTCAACCAGAATGGATCCGTGTCCATTTCTTCATCGTCTCCGAACCCGCCGAACATGCGGTTGAAGCTGTTGAAGGGACTGGAGTCGCCGAAGAATTGAGCGAAGGTCGCGCGTGGATCACCGTGGAATGTGTAGGTGAAGTCATTGGTGCCCATACCGCTGCCGCGTGTTCCTCCGCTCTTGAGACCTTCTTCACCGTGGGCATCGTAGATGTCACGCTTCTTCTTATCAGATAACACTTCATAAGCTTCTGCTACTTCTTTGAAACGTTCTTCGGCGCTGGGATCTTTATTCTTATCAGGATGGTACTTCAATGCTAGCTTCCTGTAAGCTTTCTTGATTTCTTCATCGCTTGCGCCTTTGGCTATGCCTAGGATTTTATAGTAGTCCTTGCCCATTGTAACTGGTTACTGGATTGTTGAGAATTTGTTCTTATCACACTTCAACACGAGGTTTGTTAGTTACACTGGTAGCAAACACAACACTCTTGTGCTACTGCTGATGCAGCTGCACTTGCAAACTGTTACGCAAATCTAGTTCGTTGGAGGAGTATATGGTCCACGAAGTCAAATTCGAGTCGTACGTATGACGGACGTGTACGTGCCCGCTCGGATTCGAAACAAATGCGAAACGAGACGTGCCCGGTCAGCGCTATATATGCTCGTACAAGGTATGGAATATGCTAGAAGCTTCTAGATCATAAACGTCACAGCTGCGCGTCGCAAACAAAATCGCGATTATTAGAACAAATATATGGAATTTAAGATAATTTAATGTTTGTAGTTGATTAGTGCTGTTTACTTTAGTTATTATTATTAATTTGATGTTTATATTATGTAATATTTTTGTTTTAAAAACAACAATGTTGTTGCGCCACTGAAGGAAAACAAAATCAGTCTCTGGATTGTATTGTATGCAACCAATGCTGCAGGTTAAATCAAATGTTCTTTATATTCCAGAAATTTCTGGAGAATAAGTCCAAACAATGGAATAAAATGAACAAAGGCATGTAAATCATTATACACAAAAGGTTGCAGGGTGGTTTAACTACAATAATAATTTATAGTACATTATTGACGTGTGTACAATTGTTTAAAACTTATAAAAAGACAATTAATTTTTCGTTTATACTTTTAATGTGAAGTATACAAAAACAGCAAAGAAAGAATTAAATTTTTGATTACAATATGGTCCAGATCAAAAAAAAGGTATCTATTTTAGGTTTTTACTTTTAATATACTTTGACTTAAAATTATTTACAAGCAAAAAATAAGAAGTAATAAGATTTTACCTGCCAATTACTTTCATCACGCACACTATTCGTTGCCATGGCTACAGCCAACAAACAAATGAAACTCTATTGCTACGCGACCGCGCGCTTTATAGGCAACCTCACAAACTGTTCTCTTGTAGGAATGTAAGCATACTTTAAACCTCCATATTTCACTTTTAAAAAAATTAACACTTGTTTACCGCACAAAACAATAAACCTCACAACTATTCCATGTAAGTAATGAGTAATACCGTTTACAACACTTTAAACGCTTCAATTTTCTTTGCATGAAAATCCAATCAAAAATACGTGCTTAAACGTGCGTCAATAAAATAACGACATACCTGCACCGGAACAATTGTTTTTATTGGAAGCAATACATTGAATACCGCGAAAAGAATCAATAAACGAGTGCGTGGGCACAAATTAAAACAAAACGAACAATAATATCGTAAATTTTCACCTCTGCCAAAGACAAACATAAAAATAGCAACGTACAAGAAACCAGCAACTGTTTTGTTAATTAAACATAACTCATTATTCATTAACATTATCAAGTGTGAATTTTCACGATTGTGTAACAAGCGGCAAGTACTTTTGCGTACAGGTCGATATCGTGTATTGTATTTGTCACATTTTACTGAAAATTCAAGAATATTCGAAACGGTCTCACTCGATGTTTGAGCGCGTTGTATGAGTACGTTAGGAAACGCGAGCACCATACGAGTTCACCGTTCGTTGATAACATGCCGCACGGTTGCACACGGTTAGTTGCGCCACAGACGTTCTGGGAGTAAGACATCAATAAAAACTTCGCGAAGTTCTCGCATCTAATAAAATATTGACAGTATTAAAGAAGCACAAGGAGTTGGTTATAACAGGTAGCTATTAAAATTGATTTTTAGTAGTTTTAAGGTTATTTAGGAATAAAAATAGCATTTTAAAAGTTTTAACAAAGTAACAACGCATTTTTTAAGAGTTTATTTGCGTTTTCTGGCGGTTTTAAGAAGTTTTATGAAAGAGTCTAATGTTTTTGGTGATTTTAAAGATAAATTAAGATGGCGCTTTAAAACGAGACTAAAGAGACTTAAAAACTTCAAATTTAATTCATTATTTTGGTTTTTGTTAAGTTATAGTATCAAAATCATTTAAATAATTACTTTTAAAGATTGTTTTCAGTAAAAAAGAAACAAATTCAATTTTCATATGTCGCTAGTGTCGTCCCCAAGCGCATTCTCAAACTAACCCCAAACCAATAATACTTCCAGCGCCATCTAACGTATAAAATCATAACAAAAACATTAATCTGCGTCAACCATTAAAAAACACACATAAAAAATTAATTACAACATAAATAATATAATATAACCGCTACTAAAAAACGCAATCTCATTCAAATGATTCGAAAGCACTAATTATGCCCGAAACTAAACCAAACCGACAACCGACAAGAACATCACTCACAAAATCACGCTGTAAACAAACAAGAATACCACACTAATAAATTTCAACCACAGCTGAGCACTGAGCATCATTCATACTTAAATACTTAAGCAATTAACATCTCTGTGTTGGTGTGTGTGTATAAAACGGAGGGAATTCCACTCGATTTCGCTCGCGGATAAGGTCAGTGAGTTTGGCGCACAGCGCGCCAAAGAAGACGCATGCATATTAATAAATTACCAACGCATTCATATAATAAATAAATAAATAGTGTCGTACTTAATTTATAAACGCAACAAGCGTAAGTAATAAGTAATACTTCATACGAGTATTATGCGATTAATAATGACACGCGCTTGCAAACACACATAAAACTCAAATAACTTGAGCAATAATATAAGTTTAAAGCGTATTAAAGTAATTAATGATTGTGGTATTGTGGTGTAGTGGTAGACAAGTCGACATTCCATAAGTCACGCCTTACTACTACCAATACTTCAATACTTACCTGTCTTTTGTTTTACTGGCTTCATAGATATCAGAATATTTGTGTGTTTGTGTTTTCGATAATTATTTATCGCGCGCCGGTGCTCAATACGCAAATTAGAATTTCGTACGGGCGTACGGCACTGTAGTAGAATTAAAACTTGTTTTCCAACAATCCCCGACGACGACGCGCCTGGATTTGCTGCCAGCGCACAGAAGCGATTGTCAGTAGTGCGATGTGTGCGCTAACAACAAATTTATTGTGTTCACTTTTGATTTTAGTGTAAAACCACCAGAAACATCATAAAAATGAAGATGTTTACAATTACAACAGGTAATATACTAGTTTTACATGTTATTTAATATTTAAAATATGATTTCTTATGTTTTTATAGTTTTACTGACAATTTCATGTCTGGTGAACACACAAAGTCGTCAAGAAGGTATTTACATGGTTAGTAATTCAGTTGATCAATTCGCAACGAAGTTATTGGACACAACAAGAAGGAATTTAGATGAAAGTTTTAATATTGCATTGTCACCGTATACAATTTGGACGTTGATGGCGATTGTCGCTGAAGGAGCCGATGGTAACACGTTGAAACAACTTCAGAATACGTTGACGCTTCCAGAAAGCATGGCGGACTTCCGGTATAATTATAAACAACTTGCGCTTAATTTGCTGGTAATTATTAAACATTTTACGTCTTTAAAGTTTTTATTGTGTGATGCTGGTTGTAGAATAATCAAAATGGCGTCCAACTAGACATAACCAACGCCATCTTTGTTACCAATCAATATCCACTCAACGACACCTTCAAACAAATCACCAGAGACTCTTATAATGTTGATATCAACTCTGTGGACTTTTCTGATAGTGATAGGACACTAAATATTATCAATAGATACATTGCTGATGCAACACAACAAAGAATAACTAGATTGGTTAATCCTGGTGAGTATAACCTTAAAATAAAACATAAAATAAGTTATTTATTAATGTATTTCTTATTTTTAAGATGATATTGAACAGGCTGAGGTATTCATGACAAGCGTATTGTTCTTCAAAGGAAAATGGCGTTTTCCTTTCAATAAAACCGCAACAAAAACTGAGAAATTCTACGCTGATGACGGCACAACACCAATTGGCACAGTAGAGATGATGTATCATTCTGCACCGTTCCCATATTCTGCTCTAACAGAACTAAAATCATTCGTGGCTGAATTACCCTATGGCGATGGAGATAAATACGGAATGTTTGTGATTGTCCCGTCGAAAAACGAGAAGCTAAACAACGTTTTAGATAAACTAAGCAAAATGGACTTTGGAGTTATTATTGATAGGTTGGCGCAGGCCGCCAAGGAATATGAAGATGAAGAGATTGATATCTATTTGCCTAAGTTTACGGTTATATCCGAATACACTTTGAATGTTGTGCTTAATCAAATGGGAATTACTGATGTTTTCAATGCCAACAAGGCGCAAATTAAAGGAATCACACCGCATTCTGATTTGTATCTGAGTAGAATGTTACAAAAGGCTACTATTGAGGTGGATGAAGAGGGAACTGTAGCTTCATCAGCAGCAGGTGTGTAAAATAACATAAAAATAACAAAAAACAGCAAAATTTGTCGCTGTTGGAAATTTCCACATCGCTGGTAACGCAATTTACACTTATCAATACCAATAGTGATTATTTTCATGAACTAAAGCATTGTTATGCCCATAAATGGCCCCTGATAGACATACTTCGTTAATCAGTGACGCTTCTTGCATATTTTACATTTTCGCTGGTTAAAAACATTTGTTATCGGCGAATTGTTATTATTATCATTCAATATGGTATATATTATACTGACGCCATGTTGTTTTCATGTTTCAGGTGGTTCCTTTGCGTACAAAACAATGAAGCCGAAGTTAATGGCAAACAAACCATTTGCGTTCTTCATCGTTGATAAGTTAACACGCAGCATCATCTTCGAGGGTAAAATTAGCAATCCAAAAGGTATTTGTGCCACGTGCACTGGCCTCTAAGTTTCAAGTTTCAATTTACACATGAGGCATGACTAAAATGTAAAAAATGAACAGCTAAGATTAAATAAATCGTGTGTATTGTTATAAAGTTACCTCTTAGCCATAGGTTTTATTGTATGACTACGATTTAAATAAAGTTTAATTATTTTATTGTATTCGGGGATTTTTATCAATTGCGTATAAATTTATGACTCAAAATGTTATTATCTCTTATGAAATTGGTTAAATATAAGTGTTACTCATTGTTTAAAGTTTGGGAAATGCACCTGAAAGCTGATTCACTATTTTTGTTGTATTTTCAATAAATCCGGGTAAGATGAGCAGTATTTTTATGTTTACACAATCAAAACCATAGAAATTACGATGAAATGGACTGTGCTGCTGCAACAATTACGCTTGTCACAAAGTTCAAGTGATTAATCACTGTTTAACAATGAATCAAAGCGGAAATCTGTTGAATTTAACTGTTAAAACTAATAAACAAGTCTAAAATGTTCTAGGAATGCATGAATGATACATGCAGCGCCATCTGGAGGAAATTTGAATAACCTCAATAAAATAGGTTAGAAACAACATGAAAACGTAACTTTGCAGTCCGATAATTATCGCCGATAGGTAAATATAAACTAACATTAACATTACAATTACTTATACGAAGATATCGCAAGCGTATTGATAAAACTAAGCGATTAAATTATGAATTTTTAGTGTTTTCCAACCTTGGCACATAGAGATAACCAATAATTCGAAAAAATAGTTTTCATGTTTAAAAACTGACTCATCATTCACTATACTTGTAAAACATTCTGGAATGTCGATATTTTAATGTTTATTGAAACATTCCTCCACGTTTCATTCATGAAAAACATCCGATATTAAAATTTAAATATATATTTGAAACAATTATATCCCTTTTCATATAAGAGCATTTCATATACATAATTACTTGCAAGAAGCAAACTGAGATAAAAAATAAACATTGCACATACATGAAATAAAATCAATATAGAAAAATACAATAAAAACCATCTTTATACATCTACAAGTATATAAAACACGTTTATACATATGATTTTCGTTCCAAACCTTCAAACAATAGGCTTAATTCATAAAAATATTAATAGAATTAATATTGCAAGCTGCTTTCTTGAGGATTCGAGTTTGTTGAGAGTTGCAATTGCTGCAGTGTCGTGTCAATGAGTGCAAACTGATGTAACAGACAAAATTCAAACAATTTTTACAAGAATTATATTAAACTAATGACTACACAACCGTAGTTTATGCTTTTCTTTAGAATATTGCAACAAGAACGTTTAATTGTTTAATTAATTGGCACCAATGACATATTCCTCTTGTTCTAACGTAAAATATTAATATAATTGAAGAGATTACTTAAATATACATAAATGTATGCATTACTCATAGTTTAGTTACGTTTTATGATTTTCTTTTAAATAGGTCTTTATAGTTTTCAATATAATTGTTAGTTTTTATTCTTTAATGGGACGGATCTGTATCTCCGGTGTGTTATACCATTCCAAATTTAATTCAAATGATAAAATACAAAACTAGCTGCAATTATTACATAGATTTTCCGTGAAGCTTTGTCTATTTATGCAAAAATAATTTCGTTTTGCTTCGTGTGAGGTTATTGTCGTTATAAAATCGGATTTGAACATAACCTAACATGGAATAATCACAGATGAATAAAAATATACTCTAATTGTCATTTTAAATATAAAAACAGCATAAATGCAGTGTAAAACTCTAAACGAAATGATTTTATTGCATTTGTTAGCTGATTTAGATTGTTATACTGCATTTATGCTTGGGATAAGATATAAAATCTTAACTATAACCAAACCAAGTAGAATAATTGCTTGTAAATACTTTGTAAATGCAATCTAAATGCAAGATAGCTGCTGGGGAGTGTAAACGCGACTACAATTAACAAATTAACATGAATATTGACATTTTTAAATGAGATTCTGAGCATTCACCACTGCAAAGAACTAATACCACTAGAGAGTATTCAATTTCAGTGTCGGGTGTAACAAATATGTATTAGGCTTTGAGCGATGGTTCTTTACCCATGTTGATGTGATGTTTTTATTCCTTTTTTTACCTTTGTTACAAGTCATCGTCGCCGATGCCTTCAAATGCGTGATTTTCCACGAATTCTTTGCCTGATTTGAAGGATACGCTTGAAAATTTTTCTTGGAGACGTTTTATCGAAAAAGATTCGGGGAATTTCGAATTGTTTTGACATTCATTGTCAACCTAAACAAATCAATCAATTTTTAGGTTAGAATCAAATTAATGGATGTAATGTTTAGGTTATCTAATAAAATATTTCAAAATTGACTTACTTTGTTTCCAGATGCATTCGAAGCATTGATTTCAGTCTCATCTCTTGGAATGACTTGACTGGAACCATCACGTCGCATATACGACCAACTATTTCTATACTGGCTAGGTGCTTTCTGCATGACGCCATTTTTAACCAGCAGTAATTCATCGACCATACTCTGTAGAAATATCGACATCAAAATCGCCTGATCACTGGATATCGATATCCATTTCAGATTGTCTTTAGACATCAAATATTCAAAAGACAATTCAAGATCGTAGTTCATTGAGCTGCTGTTGCTGTTTCCGGCAGTGTTATTGAGCTTATTCTACAAATTTAAAAAAAAAACAAGTTATGCAACTTTGCATACATCAGTTTCCTATTTTTACTTACATGCGTGACAGTTATTCGCCAACATCGCATTCGAGTAACTTTAAAACATCCTTCTTTGATGACGGAACCGCTGATAAGTCGCAAACTGAGTTCTTGACCACCGATTGCAACCAGAACTTTTGTTCCTGGCACTGGGTAGTCGCAAAAACATGGTTGGAATTGAATGTAGCCATAGTAACGCAGTGAACGTGCCAGTTCAATGTAGTCTTGTTTGGCGAGCCGCGCCTGGAAGTGCGCCAGCTGCGTTTTCATGTCTTTTGTGCATAATATCCATCCTCTTTCGATATCGCATACTGTTTGACTGTAGAGTAGGTTTAATGCTACCGGATTGTCCATTAGTTCTGTGTCGTAATCATTCAACCAATAACTGGAATTAATTTAATTGAAAATTAAATAAGTTTTAATATTTTTTCAGTATTTTCGTAAGTTTTTGTAGTATTTTTGCATAAGTTTTAGTGTTTATCAAAATTTTAATGCAAATTTTAACCTTTAAGTGCCACACAACAAAAAAATACCGTTTTAAGTAAAATAGCAACAATATTAAACACTTTTCAACACACTTTAGCTGATTTTACAACGTTTTTCATTCTATTACGACTTAAAATGTATTAAAAAGTTTTAAAATTCTTCAATGTTTTACCAAACGGCTATTTTTTACTTAAATTTCTGTATTTTTCTCCCGCTTACCTTTTCCTAATCACAATTTTGTTGCTTTGACTAATACACTTATGAGATATGTAGGGAGACTCGAAATCCTGCAGTTTCCTCAATATCACCAACTCGCCATTCTCCTCCTTCTTGACTAAGAACAGCGCAAAGTATGCCGTGTATTCGAGTGGCAGATTGATTGCGCTGCACGCTTTCGCCAGCACCTGCTGTGTTCTATCAGTTGTGAACACTTTCAGTGCAATCTGATGATTTGTCATTGTGTACACATCTAATTTCACCTCTTGCTTCGTCTCTTTCGTTGTTTCCTGTTGCGCGGAGAGCAAAAAACCCATCAGGAGTTCAGATGCAGCTAGATTTGAATCCTGACCAACTAAAATCACAAATATTTTAGTTATTATTCTTAGTAAATGATGTTTTAAGCAAATTTTGCATACTTATTTGAATGTATTTCTCTAAAAGTAATCTCCTCTCCTCCAACTGGCTGCCTGTGAGTGGTAGGTACTTCTTAGGAGGAAATATTGGCAGTCTCTCAATACCATATTCCCTCTTGAGCTGTTCATGAAGATTGTGAAGTTGTTTATATCGAACTGTGCAGTGGTGTGCTCCATTGACATGGATGTTATAGGCCTAGAATCATCAATTAACAAGTGAAACACTGCTTGATTCATGTTAATTATTAATGTGTCTTAGATTTACATACCACATATGTAGAACCATTGCCGTCGTTGAGTTCTTCCGTGTCAGGAATAGAGAAGTACATCTTGTTGGCACTCGACGTGGATGCGAAATTATGCGCAGATGGATGCAGGGCGCACTTATTTCACCATCTTGGCGTGTATTTGGCGCAATTAGTTCACGGCAATTAACAACAAATTATGAATTGACATTTGATGCTGCTCGCAAGAATTGGGGAGGAGAAGACTGAGAGAAGAGACAAGAGAATGAAAGTGATGCGCGCACACCCTCGAACTCGCACGAACGATGAATGTTGAGTGTGGTTGGGTTTCTGTTTGATGAGAGAAGGGAGAGAAGAAGTTCAAATACAGGTACGGGTGAAAAGACAACATTTTATTGTATTTTAATATAATAGCATACATAATAAACAAAAAATGTTATGTTTTTGACATTTTTATTTCAAATTGACATTAGTGTCATATGTCAATAAAGTTAGGTTAAGCTGTCATTTGGTATGCAACTTATTTTACACAAGTATTAAAACTCAAAAGACTTACAAATAACTATATTGTTTATAAATTTTAAACACGCATAACTTAAACAAATTGTAAATTGAAAAATAATTTATTTTTATAGGAATTTACAGTAAATTATTTGATACGTTTCTGGATGTTTCCCTAACCTAGTGGATTTTATCGAAAAAGCACTGCGCTTAAAAGTAACTAAATTTGATTAAAAAATAATATTCCGAAGGACAAGTGCTTCGAAGGTTGTCCTGTTGTGCTGCTGTCAGCCCTAATCAAAAAAACACCCCCACAAGCCCACTCTGGACGTGCTGAACTCTCGACGAAATTCACGAATTCAACAAGAATCGATCAATATTCATCGTTTCGACGCACAAGCATGCAACAAGCAATCGCCCGTTGTTTCCATGCTAACATTTAGCAAACAATTACTGAGAGCTTAAAGCTAGTCATCTAATTACACGCCTAGTTACTGCTAGGCGCATCTTCTTCTCGTCATTGGTGTGAATCTGCAAGAATTCGGCGCACAATGTCCAAAAACAAACTTAACTTAACACTCCCACCTGGTTCTATTGATCAAACCCCAACTGTGACACCAACAATAGCTGCATTTCCAGATTCTACAAGGTATTGTATAAATCTATTAATTTATCTTGGTTTCTTTGGTTTTATAATCGATTTTTGTTAATATTTAGCACAAATCATTTAGTGAGAGGCAATGACATTGACAACCTCACAGCGAGATTAGAAGAACTTGATGCTGACATGGATGACAAAGAGCGTCAGCGTCGCGAAGTATTTCTCTGCGAGAAGGAAAAGATCGGCGTGGAAGTCGGCGATGATGACTTTGAGAAACTGGGCGATTTAGGCTCTGGCAATGGCGGTGTAGTCACCAAAGTAAAGCACAAGGCAACCGGTTTAATAATGGCGCGGAAATTGATTCATCTTGAAGTGAAACCGGCGATTAAGAAGCAAATTATTAGAGAATTAAAGGTGTTGCACGAGTGCAACTTTGCGCATATCGTCGGATTCTATGCGGCGTTTTACAGCGATGGTGAGATTAGCATTTGCATGGAGTACATGGACGCTGGATCTTTGGATCTTATTTTGAAGAAAGCCAAACTCATTCCGGAGAATATTTTGGGGAAAATTACGTCGGCAGTATTAAAGGGTTTGAGTTATTTGCGTGATAAGCATTCGATTATGCATCGCGATGTGAAACCGAGTAATATTTTGCTTAATAGTTCGGGTGATATTAAAATTTGCGATTTTGGCGTGTCAGGGCAGTTGATTGACTCGATGGCGAATTCATTTGTTGGCACACGTAGTTATATGTCGGTAAGTTAGGAAATTTACATGTTTATTCAATTGTTTATTACGTTTTTAATGTGCTTATGCAGCCGGAGCGTTTACAAGGAACGCATTACTCAGTACAAAGTGATATTTGGTCATTGGGATTATCACTAGTTGAGTTGGCCATAGGAATGTATCCAATTCCACCACCGGATGCAAAAACGATAGAAGCCATCTTGCGTGGCCGACCGGAAGATGATTCGCCTAGTCACAAAAATGGACCTCGTCCAATGGCAATCTTCGAACTTCTTGATTACATTGTCAATGAACCACCACCGAAACTACCCGCGGGTGTTTTCACCGATGAGTTCAAAGACTTTGTCGACCGCTGTCTCAAGAAGAATCCTGATGAGCGCGCGGATCTTAAAACATTAATGGTTAGAGTGTTTTTGTTGTTTCTGCTTTTACTTTTATGCTGAATATGATATGTTTAGGATCATGCTTGGATCCAAAAGGCAGATAAAGAAGATGTGGATATCGCAGGCTGGGTCTGCAGGACGATGGATCTTCAACCGCCGGCCAAATAGAAGTCGACCAGGGATAACGAAATGGCGCAGGAATATCGACATAAGCACAAATCAATATATCTTTACTTATTAAGCCTATTAATTCAAGTGAATCGTGAGTAGAGATGAGGGAAGCAGGTGTTCAAAGACATTTATTGCCTTGAAAACGATGAAATCGATGAAATGTGAACAAAATGTCAACTTATTTTTCATCTACATAGATTACCGTCGGCTAGGATATTATGGAGTTACATAATTATTAATAAATTATTATATTCTCTTTATTCTAATGTATATATTGCGTGTTTTATTTGAATTTGCTGCTTAAAATAGTTTCATTTGCTTGCAACTAAAATTATGTTTTACAATGTACCTATATTGCTGTAGTGTAACTTTGGTTGCATATATAACAATCACAAATTTTAAAATTGTATTGATATGCAGCATTTTATTATAGGCTAGTTTGGTGTAATGTTGGTTGCCTACGTTAACGAAAAATTATAGCGCTAACATTTTACGCGTGGTGAAAAGCTCAACCATCGACGCTATCCGCTCACGCAACACATCCGCGTTTGGGTCGCAGGACGATCAGAGAGTCCTTTAAGGGTAGCCTGGACTACGGGGTGGAAACGTCCTCTCCTCTCCTACTGACACACATTTGTTGCACGACGCCGATCGTTACGCAGCCTTACCACACAAAAATCGAAAATAAATCGAGCGCATTAGTAAAAACGCATCTGAAAAAGAGTGAAACGACGGCGTGAGCCGAAAGGAGACAAGTGGTGTACCAAAAGTAAAGATTAGTCATATACGAATCATACGAACGTGGGCAACGATAGAGAAAATCTTGCAAAAAAGCGCGCACGCAACTTTTACGTAACCAGCGTGAGAACGACAGGTCGGGAAAACTGGGGTCAACGCATTTCCACGGCAGTAGGTGAGCTTAAAACATCCCAATATTAATTAAAATGAATAAAAACACTGAAAAATATTTTAACACAAACATAAAACCATTACAAACAGTTGAAAGTCATTAAAAACTTTGATTTGTTTTGCAAAATGATCTAATCCTATTCATTTTAGGTTGTATGAAGTGAAGGAATTGATCCAAGGAAGAATAGAGGGCATAAGAAGGGAGGCAATCGATTTGTGAAACAGACGAAGCGGTTCACATTCCATCATCCGTTCAATCGTTTGTCGAATTTACCGGAAGCGTCCAGTCTGTCATCTTGAGCACCAATCACAACACCCAACAAAGCACAAAATGTTTACACTTTGGTATACAGCTTTATCGTGGAGAGAATACAGGTAACCAAAATTTATTTATTTACTATTTAAAGGTCAAAAACAAAGTAAGTTTTGTGAATATGAAGCGTAGAAGAGTATAAATAGAACAGTTGATATACTTCAACGTATTTTGCAATATATTGGGTTGCATATGTTAGATTATAAGTAAACAAACGTTTATAACCACACTTAAAATTTTTAAAGGAAAACTTTTACTTATTTAATCAAACACATTCAGTATTTTCAAGTTTTATGATATTTTAGACGCAGAAATGCATAAAAACACAATTAATTTATTCGCACAAACAAATGCTTTCAAAATAAAAGCATATTTGGTTGCATACATTAAATTTAAAAAAATAATACACACATAACTCAATTTATTATTAATTTAATTAGTATCAGATGATGATTATTATGGTTAGTTGTTAGTCTATGTTACCTTCGTCGACTTGCGATGGCTGTTAGAGACTAAGAAACACAAATTTCGTCGGCGTCGTTGTTTGGCCCAGCGCCAATCAACAAGCAGTTATTTTAGGGACACGTTAACGTACAGAATTTGTGCGTTGTTTGCAGCTACGAACCGAGTCGAGATGTAATCGTATAATAAAAGTACTTAGAGTACTTAGACAAACATTCAACCGCGGAGAGTAACGACAAACGTCGCAAAAATGTTGTCATAACTTTAACCGCGAAAATTTCCTATGAGTTGTCAGCATGAGAATATCTTGTTTATTTAGCTTATTGTTTAATAGTTTAGATAGTTGAAATAACATACTTGTAATATTATATAGGGGAATTTATGGCATTATACAGTGTGTACAAGTACAAGGTAGTAAAAGTGGGGTTATGTGTATCTTTTATGCACAATTTAAGAAAAAAAGAGGAAAAGGGAAAAGAAAGGAGAAAGATAACTGCCACTGGAATATTGGCCGACTCAGGCTCGACTGAGCACAATGCGCACTGCACGCTGCCCTGGTATATCTGTGGACTACCCTCAAAAAGTAGTGGGGGTAGTTGTAGTACTACTACTACTGCAGACGGAAGCGACCTCAGAGTATCTATTATGCAGAGGATATTATACTTAGGGAGGGGGGAGTTACGAGTGTCCTTTAACCCATTTATTACAAAAGAAATCAAAAGTTCTCCCAATTTAACATAAAAACTTAATTTCTTTAAGTTTTTGATAGAGTTTTGCTTTCTCTTGGTGTTTTAAAGTTTTTCATTCTTATAATATTATTATACTTAAATTTAATTCACTATTATTTTACTCTAACTAAATCTTGACTTTTAATTGTTGACAATGCAGTAAAACACGTAATGCAAAACGTAAATGTTAATTTAACAAATTTCAAGCAAATTTTTAAGTTCTTATTCTTAAATAACCGGCACGTGTACAACTTAAGTTAAATAAACATTTATTAGCGTATAGTTACCAAAATTTCATCAAATTTCACTTGAAATATTAAATAATTTGATTAGAGGTAGTAAGTGCTTAGCCAAATTCTAAGTTTAAAGGTTACACATTTATCTAATGAGTAAACGAATGAGTACTCGTATTTTAATTTCACTAGTCACAAGTTACAACGCTACGCGTAAACGAAATGAGTGGATTCTGAGTGCAAAGGTGCTAATTCCATAGTAAACAATCCACTTAATTGCAAACAAAGTATAAGTTAATAGTAATAAATTAATTGATTAACTTGTCGGTATGATTATGAAACTATTATCTATAAGTGTAGATATTAATTTTTTAATTACATAGAATTACAGTAGTCACAAGTATACTCCTAATTATCGTTTAAAGAATTTCTACAATGTAAATCATTTAGTTTAAAATTTTACTAATTAACAAAATATGACTTTTTAGTTTTATGCGACACTTTATAATGCAATTAAAGTTTGAATCCAAAAAAATTAAGATTACTAACAAACAATAGTCACGTATTTGTAATCATTCCATAATTCCATGCATAACTTGCATAATTCTGAACATTTCTCTTTTAAACTCGGCAATTATTGAACCTGAACCTGATCTTCAGATGATTCATATGTAAATATTATTTTAAGACTGATTGTATCAGAAACTTAGTGCTAAAAGTGTTTATAAGAAGATTAATTACACTTCTTAAATTCATACTGTAGTGTTTTAATGTATAATTTAATGTTAGTTAGTTATCAATTTAATTATGGCTATTAATGCGAATTCGAGTACTGTGTGTTGGTTGTCTGTTAATGACAGACAATCACATTCTTCGCAATGTTTATTAAATAATATGCAAAGTTGTCAACAGTTTATAACATTAATTCAATCGTATGACTTTTAGTGAGTGCAATTCGACGCCATTTACGCACTGTTGTTTTAATTAACAAACTGTTGCGCTTTTTTGCGTGGTTAGCGCATTTCTAAGGCGTTAATTCATATTAGACACGCAGATTATTTACTTCCGGTCATTTTTTTTCACCTTTTTTCGTATTTTTAACTTTGTTAACGAGCAATTAAATGCTGTTTAAACACGGTAAGAAATTGCGTATCAAAATATGGAACAAAAATAACTTTTTGCGAAAATCAAAAATTTGCCAATATTTTATTCAATTTAGTATTTTCACTAATAAAAAACGGCAAAATAGGATATTACTGCTTAGATAATAAATTCTGTCCAACATTTGGGTTTTAATTTTTTTAGAGCGTTTTTTTTTCAATGTTTTTAGGCATTTTAAAGAAAAATGCAATAAATGGAAAACAATTATCACAACACGTTAAAAATATAAAATTTAAGACTATAATTGAATAGTTTAGATGAATAATTAAATTAATTAATGAAAAATTAACTAAAACCAATCAAAATTAAATTAAAAATACTTTTTACTACAAAAAAACTAAGAAAACTGCAGATTCTACGAATTTAACTTCTATATATCACAATTTTCCTAACACAAAAGCCATGATTATTTGATAAATAACATTTTATAGATTTTAAAATAAACCTTTTGAAACAAAAGATAAACATTTAGACAATTCACTTGTTCAGAGTTCGATTTTATTTCATTTTAGTTTTTCGAATAGTTTCTGCGTTTCTAGCTATTTCCACGATTTCTTTATGACTTTTTCTATTCTTAGCCAAACGTATTAACACTAAAAATCGTATTTCTTATTTAAAAAATACTCACGTAGAAGCCTCTCGTATCGTAAATATTTTCTCACAACCTTGAAAAGCAAGTAAAAATAAAAGTAAAACAAAGATTTGGAAAATGCGAACATTGCAAACAGCTGACGCCAATCAATAGAAATAAAACAAATCAAGGATTCAAGGATAATACATTTATATAATAACACAACAACGAATATTCGTGTTTATCTACAATATCTATAAGATTAAATTAAAACCTATAAATAAAATAAAATAAATTATTATATTTGTTATTTTCAACATTTAAAACAAAAGTTGAAAATTAATTGCATTTACTAAATTGCATCGTTAAATTCCTTATTATTTTTCTTTTGCAATCAGAATTTTCCTCAGAATGTTCGAAATGCTTTATTTGTGAATTTATTAAGTATTTGAAGTTATCCTGACGATGTAAGGCGGGTGTTGAAATATGTATAAATATATTCGATGCGACCGTGGCCCTGGGAACTACTTATATTGATGTAATATGTTTGTTGCGCGTATTTTCGTCGAGCGGCTGGGAAAATCACTTCAGAAAACACATGTAAAGATATCTCGGATTGTTCAAAGAGCTTTTTAGCTATTAACTTCAAAAATATTTGCATAACACATGTTCTTTTCTCCTTTACAACAAAACTATTTATTGTTAACAGTATTTGAAATTGTGATAACAGGTATTAAGTAAAAATTGATAAGACGCTGTGCTGTTTAAATACTCGTAGTGTGTAACTATTGATACTTGGGGAATGTGACAGCTATTTTTGCAAAGTGCTAAAGATTACGTATTATTATTATAGTAATTCTAGTAATATGTTTGGAGTGTGATAAGGTGGAGATATCAAATTCAATAATATAAATAACAGTGAAGAGTGAAAATAAACATTTTAGAGGAATTGGCAATAATATTTGAGTAATGAAAATTGATTTTTTCGTGTTGTTACGTGGTGCGATACTAATACGTCAATATTTGTAGTTATTTATTAATTACTCAAACACTAAATTGATTGATTATATTATACTTACTAGCTATTTTTGAAAAGATTTTTGTGATAACGATTGATTATCAAGAGATATATACCAATTAATTCCGCTTTTTATTAATTTTTGTGGAAATTTTTAAAAATTGCAATTTTAATTGTTTATAACTTTTAGTGTAATTATCACACTAATATAATTTTTTGTAGTTAGATGAAGAGTTTAATTGGGAACCAATTCGTGAAAGAATAAATACGTTATCCTTATTAGTATATGAATAATTAATTCTTTTAATTCTTTCTTGGTGTGAGAAAAATTAGCCAACAATTGTAGTTATTTATGAATTACTCGAACACCAATCAATTTACATTAGTGATTTTTTTTAATCCATCAATTATCAAAAGTTTCAGAGTAATTTATATCAATTTTCATTAATTTTGTTTACATTTCTATTAATTACAATTTAAATCAATTATAACTTTTAGGATAATTGTCACACAAATATATTTTTTGGTAGTAACATGTAGAATATTTGTAGTTATTTATTAATTACACGAGCACCTATTACTGATTACTGATTTCGTTAGAAACATATTAAGTAATAGATTTCTTATCTGCTTGAAAACCGATATACATGATAATATGATGATTATCAAATGATAAAGAGCTATTTAAATCGATTTTAATCAATTTCCGTGCGAATTTTTATAAATTGCAATTTTGATCACTTATAACTTTTAGTGTAATTATCAGATTAATATAATTTTTCACAGTTATATCTAGAATTTAATTATGAAGCAATTAGTAAAAGAGTCATTATATTACTTTGTTTATTTTATGAGTAATTAATGAAAAACTAAAAATATTTTACTATAATTCTCACTTTTGCTAAGGACGCCGCAACAAACCTATTACAATATGATTTTTTGGCTCGTTTCGGCTTGTTGCCACAGAAACAATATCAGCACGCGTTAAAACTTCAATTCTACTACACTACACTTTTATTTTTAATTCGCCAATCTCACAAAGCATGCAAAAAAGCTACATGATTTTGTAACAATGAGACACGAGTATGAATGCCACAATGTCTCGAGCTTTAGAATAAAATAAAATCAAGGTAAAGATCATATATTTTGTTTTGCAAGATTAATTCTGGCATAAAAATGAATATTTACAATGAAAATTAAGGAAAAAACATGTTTACTTGACGCCAAACAAATAAAACTAAGATTCTTAATCAAAATTAACAAAAATAAGAATGAAACTACAAATGAAGAATGAAAATAACTAGGAATATATTGTATGTAGACCTTTAAATTGAGTTAAGAGTTAAGAGCTAAGAGTTGCGTTGAAATTCAGGAGCGCAAACGCACGAAACGCAAACTATTTTCGTTTTCCCAGGGACAGGCGTTAAACTAATGGCGGCTGCTTCTGGTATAACGACGACGCCGGCGATTCTGTGCGTCTATTATTCGTCTATTGTAAAATATACCTAATGTTGCAAAATATCTTAAGCAAAAACAGTTTCTAGTCCTTTTTAGAACTTTTTAATACAAAAAATTGATTTTTTAAACATTTTAAACAAAAAATGAACTTTTTCTGCGCTAGTGGGGTAAAAAAAATAATTTTTCTACCACAGAATTAATAATTTATTGTGAATTTATTATACAAATTTATTTTTCAACTAAAATTCCAAAGAAATGCTATAAAAACACAGAAATTTTAATTTTTTAATATTTGAAACACCCTGTAGAGGATTTAGACGTTGCGCATCTAATAGAAACAGCTGTCGGAAAAATCTCCGCACTCCAAAACACAGCGTTCTAAGATTTCCTCCTCCAAAAGTCAACAGACTACGAATCTAATTATATAATGTCTATCTTGGAGTTGCATCCAAAGGTGCACTTGTATTCTAATCTACTGCATGCCACGGGTAATGAAAAAATGAGTAACGATACACTGCTGCACTACAAATTTCCCTGGCGACAAAATTAGAAGCAGGAATCGTTGGAAGTGTGAAATTAAAACTTGGCGGTTAGGGTTAGCGACACTCCATGACTTTGTGACTTAAGTCAAGTAACACATTATATTTTTGTACTTTATAATGATTAGAATCATTTAATTTAATCCACTTGAAAGTGACTTAAGTAATGGAATATTTTTATTCGTATAAATTTATTTTTAGCACTTTTTAATTTATTTTCTTTTATTTTTTATTTAGCAACGAATTATGTTCGTTATTAAATCCCAACTGTCCATCCAAAGCAAAAAAGGATGCAACCAAACCTACACCAGACTCTTCCACCTTATTAAAACCAACTCCTTCTAAACCTTTAACCCCGATTCCATCAAAATCACCTACACCATCACCAACTCCATCTCCTATACCACCACCATCGAGAATACCGATTATTGAACCTCCGAAATCACGCACTCCTTCAACTCCTGGTACACCTGTATCCCCAGCTCCTAAATCACCATCTGCAAGTCCCCAACCTCCGAAATCTCCTTCTAGCAGCCCGTTACCTGGTGTACTTCAACCCCCGTCGAAACCACCACGTTCACCATCGCCGCATCCGATGAACACGGATGCATTCGAAAATATCGATTTCGAAGACGAAAGCGAAGAGGAAAGTGAACCTGAAGATGAGAATTCTGTGGTTGATAAAAGCCCATGGGCTATGCCTAAGAAGCCTTCGGTTAGTCCAAGCCCAAGCCCAAGCCCAAAACCTTCAAGTCCCCAACCGCCGACAAGGGGTAAACAGGCTGCTGGCGCGTTTCTTCAGCAAGAAATCGGGGCGCAGAGAAAACAATTCAGGTAGAAAAGAATATCCTAACCTAAAAAATAACAACCGTAACCTAACATAACCTAAAAAAATAACCTAACCTATTATAACCTATTAAAATAATTTTTTGTGATTTTTTTTTCATTTTGCGAAAATATACGTAATATTTATAGAAATTTATTAATTACTCAAAGACTAATTAATTTATATTACTGATTTCTCTAGAAATATATTAAGTAATAAATTCCTTATCTGCCTGTGGAAAGATTTTTGTAATATCAGTTGATTATCAAGAGTTTCAGAGTAATTTACATCGATTTTTATCAATTTTTGGTGCAAATTTTTATAAATTACAACTTTAATCATTTGTAACTTTTATAGTAATTTTTCGAATAATACAATATTTGGCAGTTAGGTGTAGAATTTAATTATGAATCAATTAGTGAAAAAATATTAATTTTATCTAAACTAGTTTTTGAGTAATTAATAAAAAACTAAAAATATTTTACTATAATTTTCACTTTGCGTATAAAATAACTAAGAAATATACTACCATAACCTATTAGAACCTAACCTAACCTATTAAAAATTTTTTTTATTTGCAGCGATTATTATTACATTTTTAAATTACTAATACTTGAGTTTGGAGTTTTGTGAGTTTTTGCACTGTGTGATTATCGTCACGTAGGACATCGCAGATTTACTTTGATGACACATCGATATGCAGCTCGTAACTTATACTTTTCCGACGTAAGCGTAAACAATTAACAGGTTTGTGATTTTTATTTATTTTTTCCTCTACGTAAAAAATTACACCCACATACTAACTTTTCAACTAAATAATTTACTCTGCGCGATTGTTAAACGTCGTAAAATACAAACGTCAATAAATCATTTTTACGCTAAATACGCTAACAATCACCACATTCACCGGTGTTTATTTAAAAACTTTTACAAATAGTGTATCTACACGTTCGCGCAATGCAAAATATTCGAAACCATAGGTTTGTAATAATAAACTGGCGGAATGCACGAATTCAAGTTGGAATTTAGCGTGTGTTATTGTGTTTGATCGGTAATGAACTGTAATGATCAAAACGATAAACATAGTATTAAGTTTTCTGAAAGGAAGCCGTAAGTTCAGGCGAAGCGTAACTTCCGACCTGAAAAAATTAATAGCCACAAACAATAAGTTTCAAGGTTATGTTGAGGACTTGTGTCGCGTTTGAAAATGGACTTGGATCTTATTTGATGAGTGGGATCGCGCGACAGAGTCACAAATCATCATGTAAATTAAACGATGTCGTTGAATACTGGCAACTGAAACTTCAGTTGGTGTTTATGATACATTTGAGGTTAGGTTTGTGGATGTAAGTGAATATTAAGTAATGTTTTGCGTGCGTAGGATAAACCCATCTAATTGAAGTCAATTTTTACAAAGGTGAAACATAATTTTGTCAAGTTTGCACTTTTATTAATTGATTTGCACGCCGATAACACTGAGTGATTATGACACATATCCTGTGATAATGATTTTTAATAATTATGATGTTTTATATAATAGTCTTGAATGTGATTTTTCAGTGTTTGACACTTTTGGCATTTAAATGTTGAATTTTTCTGTGCCAAGTTCAAAAGCTGCCACCGTTCGATTTCATTCACTCCACCTCGGCCCAGACCAGCTGAGGTCGGTCGAGGATATTACGCAATCTAAGTGTGCGCAGGCGAACATTTGGGAAATGCTCCAAAAAACACAAAACACCAACTTTTCCAACATTTCAACGACGTAGTAAAATTGCAAATCTGAGAGAATGATCGTTTAACCACTGGAAATGTGTATTGTATACCAGAAAATTCATCTACATGCGTTCATAATCGTGACGCGATTTATTTTCCAACGTTTCGGTCGTTAACTAAATTTTATTACCATAACACACTCCTAGATATTGATTCATTAGTTGGTGACTGATGAATGATGCAATTTTTTTTAAATATCTCAAAACACACTTTTTATAATCACTTTTTAAAGTTTTTATAGGTTATAAAATAGGTTATATTAGTATAGGTAGTGTTTGTGAGGTATGCAACTCAAAATACACCAAAACTATTGATTTTTTTGTTTCGTAGTTTAATTAAATCGGAGAAACATTGATCAAACTTTAATTATGAAGCAATATTTGTTAAAATATCTCAAGAGAACTCTTTTAATAATCACTTTTTTAAGTTTTTACAAGTTATAATATTGGTTATATTAGTATAGGCAGTGTTCGTGAGTTATGCAACTCAAAATACACCAAAACTATCGATTTTCTGTTTTGTGGTTTAATTAAATCAAGAGAGCATTGATCAAACGTGATTTAAGCGGATTTTTTCGCATGGCTTGCTGTTTTTTTACGACCGTACACGACGCCTACATAAAAAGGTGATTATAATTTAAAAATCCATTGTTGTGCAATATCAAATTTTAACGCGGCGTGTCGAATAGCGCGTCTCAGCACTTTTGGCTGCGATTTTCGCGCGAGTTACACAATCCCTCCGATCGCGCGATTTTTTGGCAGAAAAAATCGAAAAACGCCGGTGGTAGGGTAGGTCCGGCGCTGCCGCCGAGCCGCCGCCGCCTTGCGATTGGTCGCCGGTCGGTTTTCAGCCTGCCGGCGGAGAGGGGAGGCCGGCATACAAGCGACGGCGGCTCGCGGCGTCGAGCTCATATCCAGTTCACTCCTCACCGAGAGTGGTGTCCTAAAGACTCGATTGACGTTCAGAGCAATTTGCAACTAAGGTGAGATTTACAATCAGACCATCCGACTAGCAGACAAGCACCATCAACAAAACAATCCAACAAAACCGAGCAAAACCCAAACATCCTTTGGAATTACACAATCGTAGTGTGTGAGAATAAAGACCAGATCCTGTATGAAGAGACCTCTTAACGATATCCTTAATCGACCCTTAACTCATCTCTCGATCAGAAACTCATCTAGCTGGTAGCGACTAGCGAGTAGAGTGCCTGTGAACCAGTTTTTAGTTTAGTTTTGCAAGAGTTTTTAACAAGTTTTGCCCCGAAAAAAAAGAGTTTTAATTTTGTGTTATCGACGGAGTTATAATTTTATTTTGTGTTATCAAATCGTAAGTACCTGATTATCAGTTTTATTATTTTTTAAAATCTTTGTTTTTGCTTGATTTATTTGAAATGAATTTTGTCAAGTCACCCTAGTTTGGTTTCTTGTTGATTTTCTTGTAACTAAGCAAAAAACAAAAGTTGCATCGAATCTCAGCCTAATTTGCATATGAATATCCGCGCAGCGTTTAACTCTCACATGTGATTGGAGCAGAGCACACTCTTGAAAAAGGGGTGCCATACATATACAATGTGTCTGCTGTGCTTGCGTGCAAATTTCAGCACACAGGGGGAAATGCTTGCAGAAGCATAAACTAAACTAAAAAGCTTCCACACAGCATCGATCTGCGATCTGTGAGGGGGGATGCGCGCGCACCCTCGTCCTTGGCAGCGCGCAGGCCAAAGCCAATGCCAGGAGCAAGCAGCCACGGGGCAAATCTATAAAGTTTAGCACCAGCTGAATCTCTACCGGCTGAAAAGTTACATCATCATGCAATGCGTTGCGTAACACGATACAATATACAATGAGTTCAGAGTTGTTACAGTTTAACTCTTTTATTTTCATCGTAGGCTGTAATTCGTTGGAAATTAGAGTGAATTATTTGCATGACTGGTTCGGGAGATTGACGAGACCAGTTTAGTTCGGTATAAATCGGGAGCGGCGAATGCAATCATTTAATTTAACTCTCGTTAGCGTTTTGTTTCGGCCCAGACGAATCGCGCACAATTGGCGCTCGCGTGTTTTTCAATTAACATTGATTACTGCGCAGCTTCTCTCTGACTCACATTGTCTTAACAATAACATAATAATAATTTTTTTAATAGTTATTGAGTCATTATTATGACAATCACATTTTGATATTGATATGCCGCGTGGGCGGAGGCGCCGGGCGTCGAATCGATCCGAAGGGTGCATCCGCGACGACAGCGCCCGGAACGACGCTATTGCCACCGCCGCCCCCGGGGGTAGATTCAGTCGACGCGTGACTAGCACTGCGCATCGTAAAGCATCTCTTCTATTCTCTTCTCTCGCGAGAGAGAAGCCGCCTTTTTGGTTGCGTGCGTCGTTTGCCCGAAAGGGCGGCGTCCCGCGCAGCATCGCGCCGCCGCCGCCGCCGCAGTCGCACCTTCACCATCCGCACCACGCAAACATCGCCAGGCGCGTGTAATTAGTCCGTAGTGTCCCCAAGTACAGTAGTGTGTAGAGACCGTAGCAAACTATCACCCGAAAAAAGTGTCTTTTCTTTTTTGTAAACGCGACATCGACGCGCATCGAAACAAAGAGATAGTTTTGATATTCAAGAGTTTTATACTCTACAAAGAACCTCTAGGATATTTAACGGATAGTTTTTACAACTCAGAGGGAATCAAAAGGACCACAATCATTTTTTTACGCAGAATTTAATCGACTAATTCTACTATTAACGCGCTAAGCTTTTCAAGTTTAACTAAAGCTTGCTAACTAACGAAACACAACGAGTAATTTTTGTCTAATCTACACTCTACACAATGGGCGGCTGTGCATCCAAGGACGGCAACGGCAAGAAGGCCGGCAAAGAGGAGGAATCCGGGTAAAAAATGTTTTAAGTTAAATTCAATTTTTGGCGGCGCCGCGAGGCGCACCGGAATCGGAATCAATTCTCTGCCGCCCACGGCGAGTGAGCGCAGTGTCATGGTCAGCACGCACACACAAAAACATAAAATATACAACAACCCCACTAACGCACACATCAACAACAAACAAAGCTCGTGTATAATAATTACATACTAATATTATCGACTTTCATACTTACTTTTGGTTTGTTCTATTCAAACAGCTCATTATTTATTATTTATGCATTTTAACATTAGACGATTGATTAAATAATCAATTTTTCGATTTAAAATGTTTTACTTTGTGGTTAATAAATTAAATTTTCTTTTAGAATATAATATTATCCAACACAGGATGCGATTAAATTTTGTTATAAAATGTTTTCTTCATCCGGAAATACGAATTCGTCGTTTTGTGACAATGAAGAATATTTTGGAGAAAAATCAAAGGTTGGATAATCCTGTTCTAGAATAAAATTTCCCGATGGCGATTCTTGACATGATTCCAACACATCACCGAGCATTCGGAGCGGTTAATGGCCCATTATCAAAAAACGCAAGATAAATGGTCAAGGCCTGCGAAGGCTTCCTGCCTCCGAGCGCACTATTTTTGCCGCCGCTCACGACCGGTGATGTGTGCGTCTATAAATACGTCCAACTCACCGACGCAGGTTGTTTTTTCGGCCCGCCCCGCTCGACGGCCGGCGTGTAAAAATATCGGCGCGCGCCCGAAACGTTATAAATAAATTAGTCGCCAACGACTAACGAAATTTGTCTATTAAACTGGCGTGAATATATGTCTATCCCCTTGATTATTATACAACTACTGCATCCTGTGTGTCTGTGTCTCTCGCTCGGCTAGGAAGTGATTTATAGTTGAGCGAAAATAGATGCGGAATATTACAGAGAGTGGCCTGTCTTGACGCTGTGCGTTTGTTTTTTCTGTTTGTAGAAACAGCACCATGGTTGACCAGGCAGTCCTCGACAAATTGGAAGAAGGCTTCAAGAAGTTGGAAGCCTCCGACTCCAAGTCCCTGTTGAAGAAATACCTCACCCGCGAGATCTTCGATAACTTGAAGACCAAGAAGACCGGGTTCGGTTCTACCTTGTTGGACGTCATTCAGTCTGGTAGGTTTTTGATTGGAAAATTTATTGGAATGTGAGTTTTGAATATATGTTTTGTTGTTTGTAGGTTTGGAGAACCACGACTCTGGTGTAGGTATCTACGCCCCTGACGCTGAGTCGTACACCGTCTTCGCCGATCTCTTCGACCCCATCATCGAAGATTACCATGGTGGATTCAAGAAGACCGACAAGCACCCACCTTCCCAGTGGGGTGATGTCTCTGTTTTCGGCAATGTTGACCCCACCGGTGAATACGTCGTGTCCACCCGTGTGCGTTGCGGTCGCTCCATGGAAGGCTACCCCTTCAACCCCTGCTTAACCGAAGAGCAATACAAGGAGATGGAAGGCAAGGTGTCCACCACTCTGTCTGGTCTTGAAGGCGAACTCAAGGGTACCTTCTACCCACTCACCGGCATGAGCAAGGATGTCCAACAGAAGCTCATCGATGACCACTTCCTGTTCAAGGAGGGCGATCGTTTCCTGCAGACCGCCAACGCCTGCCGCTTCTGGCCATCTGGTCGCGGTATCTACCACAACGACAACAAGACCTTCTTGGTGTGGTGCAATGAGGAGGATCATCTCCGCATCATCTCCATGCAGATGGGTGGTGACTTGGGCGAGGTCTACCGTCGCTTGGTGACCGCTGTCAATGACATCGAGAAGCGCATTCCCTTCTCGCACAACGACCGCCTTGGTTTCCTCACTTTCTGCCCAACCAACTTGGGTACCACCGTGCGCGCCTCCGTGCACATCAAGCTGCCCAAGTTGGCCGCCAACAAGGCCAAGTTGGACGAGTGCGCCGGCAAGTACAACTTGCAGGTGCGCGGCACCCGCGGTGAGCACACCGAGGCTGAGGGTGGTGTCTACGACATCTCCAACAAGCGTCGCATGGGCTTGACTGAGTTCGACGCCGTCAAGGAAATGTACGATGGCATCTCTGAGCTCATCAAGATGGAGAAGGAAGCTTAAGCTCTCTGCACGCAGGACAGCACGCGCGCGCACCAAGGACATCTTCGACAACGCGGCGACTTTGCACACACACACACTGCACTTCTTTGGAACATCAAAGACGAATTGTACCTACTCATCCAAACCAGCAGCAGCCACAACCACCGAACCCACTGACGCACGTTTGTGTCACTTCACCACCCGACATTTCAACATCCCTCGATCCGTTCCGAATTTTAGAACGATTCGGAATTTGTGATTGCATCAAGCCAAAGAGTTCAATGGTGTCTGGACAATTGTTAGTGTAATAATACTCAGCTTATAGTCGGCGTTGTTTTTAAAATAAGCGAGCGCGCAACCGCGTTCGTTATAAGTTACTATGATAAGCATTGGATATTACTGTATATTATTTATATTTTAATTGTAATTATAAAGTCATGAAAATCCCAAAGAAAGACACTTTCAAAAAGAAGGATGTTGTAAATTTCGACGTTCGGGCGGACGAATTTATTATTCGCACGCACGAATTGTTCTTAATAAAATAGATCCAATGTGATTCAAAAACGTTCTTTTGCTAGCATATACTTAAGTATCCTTTAAATAGTTCCGAAATATTCCAGTCTTTATCAATGCTTTTAATTTCTGCTATGCATTCTACGTGCCGATGCTTCACATTGTTGTGCGTCGGCGCAAGTTCCTTAGTGTCCTGAGTCAAATCGCATGTTACACGCGCTGTCAGTTCAGTCCAGTGCTTTGTCGCAAACACGCGTTGTGTTCAATTGATTATCGACGGTATAAATACGAGTACCAACTTAAATTTAAGATTTGATACCAACAGTGTACTCTACTTGCTGATAATATCCATGAGGTAGATTTTGTGGAAAAACATTTATAGTGTCACAATGCAATCAAGTGTAACGAAGAGAAAAATTGTCTTGGTGTGTTGCAAAGTACTGATTTTTGTATGATTTAGGGCTGTAAAACATCAATGGAACTTCGGAGGAATGTCATCCTGGCACCAAATTATTATAGTTTTATGATTGTCTCACGCGGAAGCGCTTCGAGGCATTGCTTTCTGTTAGTTTTAGGGTTCTAGAACATCAATGAATTTAAGCAGGAAGGTTATCCCTACATAAAATTGTAAGTATTTAAATTCTTTATTGTTTTCACGACATGATTTTCGCACGGCGAAGTCATAAAAATTGTATTTTGTGTTTTGAAGCACTGATTTTTGTATGCTTTAGGGCTCAAGAAAATCAATGGGTCCTTGCAGGAAGGTCATTCTTTGCATCAAATTGTAAGTATTAACATTTTTTTAAATATTTTCATGACTTAGTTTTGTAATTTTCTCCCGCGGAAGCTATAAAAAATGCATTTTTGTACTAGCATCTGATTGTAAGTAGTAATAACTGTTCGCCTTTACATAAATTAGGTATCCTTTATATATGAGAAAACAATTCAAATGTCATTTTTGTGTTTTCACTCCTTTATTTATGTTGACTAAACTTATAGAATAGCAACGGTTCATCAATATAAATTGCTGAAGTATAGTTGCCTGTAAGCGTATAGAGGTTGTAGTCAGTTGCTATTTTTCTATAATAGTAACTTGGTTTGTACTTCTGCCCATAGATGGCGTTCATCTCGTTAATTTGTTAAGCAGTTGATTTATTTTTCTGCTTGTTCGCTTTGCGCCGCGATATTGTTTTTGTATTTTGTTTGTTTTGCTTGTCTTCCAATATTCTCATTCAATATTTACATATGTTGAATAAAATTTAATGCGTGAATAAACGAGAATTGTATGGCTTTAACTTAAGTTTTGTGTGAGTTTCCTCGGCCACCATGACCAGGATGTTATCTTCTGATCTGTCCTTTGTACACGATGCGATGCAATGATTGGTGCACGCATTTTCTTATTATTTGTCTTGTTTCAACGGATCTACCGCACGACGGTTTAAGTTGCTAAAGATTTTTATTCGGTAATTGTGTGGTGTTCAACTAACTAACTGTGGTGTCGTTTAAATATTCATTTATTACGAGATAACGCGAATTGCATGCATCATTTCTGTGCGCGTATCAATCGTGGAAGTAACTAATTCATTGAGGTGGTTGGATCTTAGCTTAGACACGCCGCCGCATAATTAAAAAGCCCTGTCGCTACCCCTGTGTTCGGACTGGCTTTATTTCTGCTCTCTCTACTCCTTCTTCTGCTTCTGTACTCCTCTTTTCCTTCTGTTACTACTCTCATCACTACTAGAGACGTCTTACTACTTAGAAATACTTTCCATGGCCCTACCTGTATCTGGAATGATAGATAGGGTGTACAATTAATAAGAGTTATGATGCTATATACAAATAAGTATTGCAAAATTCAATAGTTATCAGGACACTACAACAAATGTTATAGAGAACTGGCCCAAATTTTGAGACATGTTTTACCCTAAGCCCAACATATGCTTGCAAATACCACGTTTCTACAGAGACAAACAATTATCATATCAATTTTCTAGATTTTTACCTTGATATTCAATAAAACTAATATAAAGGGTCAGTTGTAGAAGGAAAATTTTTGGAATTGCACCAGGAGACCTAATATACACTGTATTATTAAGAGAAAATATCTACATTTAGAAAAAAAAAGCCAGTTGCAAAAAAGAAAAGACTAAATAAAACCTTTAGAGTGAAATCTAAGAAAACATATTCAGAGTGTTACAACATAAAAACAACAATTGATATAATCAATTAAACTGAATACCGTAAATAGAAATCACAGAAGATAGCTAATTTCCACTCTTCTTCTTCTTCTTCTTCTTTAAACTACTAAAAATAGTCCTAAATATCCTCATAGTTTCCAAGATATGATGCAAATTCTATTGCAAAACATTGAAAAACGCAAAATATTGCGAAAGTTTGGGTGAGGTATAAATGCCGTTAGAACAGATTGAAGGAGTGAATGTTTCTCACTTCATATCTTTTATATGGAGAACAGGAAGTCTACCTTTATTTATTTATTCCTGTAAGTACTTTTAAAACACCACCATACACGATTACTATTATTAAGAATGGCACAACACTTCCAGACACGAGGCGAGTCGCGAATGTGCCGATAAATCATGATAAGACCAAAACGCGCACTGGGCGGACCCACGCCTACCACAACACACAAGTACGCGGATTAACAGATGGCATGTCAAAAAAACTAGTTGAACCATTTTGCCCAAATGAGGGGGAGAGGGTATTGGAGCGATGGCGCACTACCCAAACCTACTTAGCAATAGTAAACCTGGACATAACGGGACAATAAAACACCACCAAATTTCAACTATGCATAGATTTTCATGTTTTTACCCAATGAACACATTGTCATAATTAGATAGAGCAGTTTACGCCATTTACAATATCATATAATAATGTCTACAAAACTACATTTAATACAAAGATTATAATAATCGAGAGGAGTAGAGTTGGACAAGAGAAGAAGCATACAATAAATTCGGTTATTGATTGACACATTGATTAGTTTAGTAACAATCCGTCACTGAATTACTCTATGTTGGCATTGAAAAAACACTTCAACTAAACAATCATTTTTGGATCTACATGACTACCGGTGGTTGCTCACTCTTTTCGCGATAATGTGCGCATTATCGATTAACATTTAAAGGGGAGGGTAGTATGGTGGTGGTTTGCCTCTTGCAGAATGGCGTAATCAGCAATTAAAATGTACTCGGTAGTTATAGGTATAGTTATTACAGACACCCATCATTAATTGTATCATTATTTCAATATTATTTGTTAAATGTACGGTTTTTTATGTATTGTGTCTTCCAGTGTCACATGTCTTAAAATGTCTGCGTGTCGTCTGGTGTAAAGAATCATTTAGTATAATATTTATAGTTTCTTTTTAAATATTTTATATCAAGGTACCGTTAAGGCTAGATGAGATCACTAGTGCCACTATTTTTTGTTCAATCTATCGCACGCTGGTCAAGTTGGATGGACCTGTTTGTTTGTTTGTTTATGTTTCAGTTTCGTCTCCGTCGTTCAGTTTCTTCCATCACACATCTAAATTTACAACTATCGTGTAACAAACATCTTCGAGATTCGAGATTTCATTGTGGTTGCATAATGGCGTCTTCTTTGTTTGCAAACCATTGAACATATTACACTCGTGTGACTCCATTTCATATCTGTTTGAATCTTACTTGTTTTACATTTAATAATATAATTTGACAATCTTTGACAATCCTTAATATTAAATTTTAATATTGCTCAAGTGTAGTACTTAGTTATGGTAGTGTTTATAATAGTATAAGTTTACTGTTTAATATAATGTTTTATAGATTCGTTTTTACACTTTTATGCGAATTATTTTGATGTTAAAACACGTGGTGTAGTATTTATATATGATGTAAATGTTGTCATTTGAAAGATTTTGTTGCAAACAACCATCGAATAATATTGCGTTTGTTATTATATTGATTGGTGTTGAAATTTTATGAATCAAATCTCTGAAAGAAACACAAATGATGGTAAAATAAACAAAAACGAATGGATTTGAAAAAGAAACAATGCAAAATGTACTTTTAAACTATCATTATATTTTTATCATTTAATCAAACGTTGAATTTCAATTGCGATGAAGAGAATTCTTGCTTCAATAACCTGGTAAGTTGAGGTACATTTTATTGTACATTTTCTGTATGTATACGGTTTAACATTTAATAGTAGTAGTCGAATTATGCTCTCGTTACATTTAGTCATAATTTATTTATATGTACTTGCTTTTGAACTGACTTTGTTGTAGCATGTTGTAATGTACAATATATAATTATTACTTTCAGTGTGTGTTCCGGCGTGCAATTCGCAAATACGCATCGCGCATAATTCGAAATTTACTGTTTATCATTTGTTTTACTATCAACATCATTAATAGATTCAATTCAATATTTTGTTAAAATTCATTATGCTATTATACGTTTTCATTAGTTTGTTTATATGCTTCTCACTTACTTCCCTAAAAGACTTGTCCTTAAGAGATGCCTCCTGTTCGATTATGCTACGTTATGTTTGCTTTAAATTTACTTTATTTAACTGTTTTTTTCTTTGCATGCACATTAGCAGCGGCGCGCGTGACGCGTCAACGTGAGCGTACTGAAACGCGCCGCTAGATTCGTAGATGTCGAGATAGAGTAATATCAGTTTCGCAGCGCCACGCTGTGGACCACGAAACGCTCAATCGAGGTTTACAAATAGATAGAGAATGTTAAATGTGAAATGTGAAATGCACGTTCCAATGCACACGAGAATGTAGATGCAATGATTGTTTTCATCTTGTTTTTGGTATTTTCGTATTTTTTGATGTAGAAAAATGAGCAGTTACAGTGTAAGTTTCATTTGCTTTCTTAAGTTTTTTTGTTTTTGATTTGACACAATTCAATAGTTCAATGGAATACAAATAGATCTAGCGCAGTATAATAAACAATTCGCAATGTGTGAGAAGTCGAGCATCATGATGGCAGTCCGATAAAATTTAACAGTACAAATAACAATGTCATAAAATAAAAAAAATACAAAGATTAGATACTAAAATTATAATACGAATGTCAGTGTATATGTTTTTGATTTGGTAAAAATGCCTCCTAACGAATAAAACATTAAAATTAAGTGACATTGACCATGATGCTTTTCAACACGCTAAAAAATGTTTACCTAATCATTAATTGTTTGTCATTCTTTGTTTTTTCTTCAATTATATTACGAATCGATATCAATACGAACTATAACATTAAGAAGAATAAATTAGAATCTCTTTGGTTTAATCACGATTCAGGCAAATATATATATGCATCTATATCTTGTATATATATTTATATATTTTTTCATTTATATATTTACTCATATAGTCAACTAATAAATTTGCTTATTTCTGTTTTTGTTTGTCTTACGTTTGGTTTTGGTTTTCTTTAAAATACTGTACCGTATTATAGTTACTTTCCTCTGTTAAATATTTAAATTTAATTAAGTTTAATCTTTGTTTTAAATCAGCCACACTAAGAACTGGAGATGTCTAATTTACACTCTACGGTTTTTCTCTCCTCGCCTCGCGTCTTCGATTCATTTAATCGCTCCGGTTTTGGCTCGTCACTTGCGTGTCGAGCGCGTGTTTGTGTGTGTAGCGTGTGTGAGGGGTGTAGAGGACCTCGTACGAGGATGTCTTCGGGTTGTTTATGAGTAGATGGTGATGACTTCCTGACCGCCACCGCGCACCATAAGCACTCGCTCGAGGCCTTCGGTAAGAACTTCTAAGAATTCCATATCTAAAAATTATTTATTAGCAGTGTTTAGTATTTATGTTTAGTAACAGTTTCTTACAATTTGACTCCCGTTCCACTCGGGTGTCTTTCGGCGGTCCAGGCAAGTTCAGAATGACTAATTGAGCGTCGTGCGAGCGATTCACGATCACCTCGTTCAGCTTGACGGCGGTGTGCATTCGACGCACGTTGCCCTCGTCTCTGCACCGGCAAAAAAGAAATCGTTTGTAAAGCCTGGAAACTAAGAAATCAATTAAGGTGGCTTACGGTGTCATGGTAGGCTTCTGCTCTTCTTCAGTTTCAGTATCTTCGTCCTTGCTATCAGACAGCGGCTCCTTCTCGGAGGCGTCTTCTTTCTCTTTGATAATATTCTCGCAATCACCGTTTACTTCCACAACTGATGAAACCTATTATAAAGAAAATAATAAGATATTTAGTTAAATAAATATGGATTATGGATATGAAAATTTTATACTTCATTGGAAGGTTCCTCGTCGTTAGACTTCTTATTATCACAATCGTTGGCACCGCCGCTCTCGGAGCCGGGCTCCTGGAAGCGCACCTTGGTCGCCGTCGCCTTGGCGTCATTCTGATGATGCTGGTCGACTATCGACTGAACCTAAGCGCACAAACAGCAATCGAGTTAAAACATTTCCGCCCCGCGTGCGCCAACAGCATGGCCGTGAACACTCTAAATGGAAGGTGAGTTAATGAGACATGAGATATGCGGCGACATGGAAATGTAGCCTGATACATATAAGACATAACCAATGTGGTGGTCGGTGGTGATACAGACAGCGAGATAAAGATAGCAAAGTTAAAAAACGACAAGCAATTCAACATTGACTGAATGAAACTAGCATCATCATGAGAAATGTAAAGCCGAAACATTCAAATGTCCGGTAGATGAAAAAATGGCGGCCGGAAATGACATGTGGTGGTAATGTGGCGACATGATCGGCACGATTTGGCAACGATGGCTTCCGAGTGAAGCAAGAGAAATCAATCTGATCTATAAACTAGTTTGTAAAACGTTCATGCTGCTCAAAATGAAAACGGTGGGCAAAATGAGCGGGCTCTAACAAACGTAACACAGTTGATGTGCGTTACCAATGGCAGTTTCTCTTCTGTTGACTCATTGAAGTCCACCAGAGTTTGCACCTTTGCACATAGACACAACGGGAGATCATAAGATTATTGCATTGTTTCATTTATCAAATAGGTAGAGGCGGTGGCGTGTCCACCACCCGCGACATTCAATATTGCTACACCATTGCGGCAATAGAGCACAACACTCACCACGCCCAGGGACTCTTTCTTGTTCAGACGCAGCTCGCGCAGCATCTGATTCCGTTGCTCCATCATCAGTGTTCGCTCGTAGGTGTATGCTGAGATATCACTATCCATCTATTAAAAACAAGCAAAACAAAAACACACAAATTAGGTTATGTTGTCATGTTAAGTCTAAGGTTAGGTTACCATTTCGACTACTTCCACCTCAGCCTCAATACGCAGATGATACAAAAACATTTTCAAATCCTTCTTCATCTGGATCGAGTTGTCCTCCATCTGTGCAACGGTGAAGATGCGCATCTTACAGTTCTTCCACGTGCGGTGCTGTTTAAGAAGGAAGGGTAGGAGCATCAGCAGACCGCCATCGTGGACAATCCACCAAACGTCAATATTGCCGACGACTTTCTCGCTGGAGTCAGGGAAGAAGTTGATGCCCTTGGGCACCAGTAAGGCCATGCGCGCGGCGGTCACATTGCGGACGGTTTGCAGGAATACCTGCCAGGTGCGGTCGTCCTCCGACTGCCGCCAGCCGTACGGCCAGCCGAGAATCACCGTGTTTGGTTTCATACCGCCAAGACCACTTGTTTGAACCCTACAGCGAAAATCCCGCATTAATCTACACATCTATCCTAAATCCCGTAGTACTTACAAATGGGATAATCCATCAGTGACGTTACGAGCAACAAGAATATCAACAAATCCTTTCACGCGTTCTTCATCTACGGTGCGGCGAAGATTCTGTTTGGCAGCCATTGCCTCACTGCTAGACTTTGTAAAGTCACCTTTGATAATAGAAGCGCTGACAGTGAGACCTTTTCCGGCTTTCAATTGTGAAGCAAATGCGAACAACTTGCGGTATTTGGGCACCATATCTGAGGTCAGTTTTACGAGGATAAGAATCTGCGGACGCCAGTTCTTTGTATGCGGTGGACCCTCTTCCAGTCTCAAAAGAGAGAATCTTGCTGCAGACAAGGCCAAACCTCGGATACCATCTCCCCATTCCTTCTCAGCTCCTCGGTATTCAATGTACTTGTAAATCATACCCGCCATACCCATAGCCAACAAGGCATAGTACCACGAAGTCATGAACATAATAGCAATGCAAAGAGCAAGGCCAGTGAAGGACAAACTCCAGTGGTAGTACTTAAATCGAGGTCTCCAGTTGGGGGTCCTTAGAAGAGTCTGCAGGGCACAGGCAAGATTGACAAATCCGTAGCACATCAAGAAGAACATGGAGAGCAGTGGAGCAAGGTAATCAACATTACCCAGCAAAATACCACATTGGCAGATTAGGATGGTGAGGATTAATGCACGGGTGGGTTCACCACGGCTAGAGGACACAGCAAATGGGGCTAGGAACGGAATAATTCCATCTTTGGCAATAGCTTGAAGCAAACGAGGAGCACCAGTAAGAGATTGCAAACCTGCCCCAAGAGTAGAAAGGAAGGAACCAATGAGGATAACCCACTGGTTAGGCCAGGCAATGTTAGCTACGACAAGTTTACCACCAATTGAAACACCGAACTTGTCACGCAAAAGTAAGTTATCAACGGTACCAGCAAAAAGGATAACGGTGGATAGGTATACTGTGGATGTGGTCAAGATAGCACAGATTGTACCAATCGGGATAGACTTTTGCGCATCAGCAAGATCTCCAGATCTATTTGATCCAGCCATAATACCAGTGACAGAAGGGAAGAAGATGCCAATGAGGATTGTAAACGAAGTGGTAATATCAGCCAAAACTTGGTTGTAACTCGGTTGGCCAACGTTTTCATAATCGGCGGGTGCCTTGCCCTTGGCGAGGTATTCGCCCATCTCGAGGAAGCTATCCTTGATGTTGTCTACACGCAGAAAGAGAAAAGCGAGAAACGAGACATTAGCACATTGCGAACAAACTTAACCCCCAAGAGGGATTAAATGCGTTGTGACACGCACCAAGAAGAACGCCCGATGATAAGCCCTTAATGCCGCGCACAATAGTGACGTTGTTTGCCTTGTAGTACGGATCGCAGATGCTATTCGTTGAATTGCAGAAGATTCGATGCAAATCTCCGCCAACTGTCTTGTTGCATGATGCCATCGGGATGTCCTTCAGTAGTCGTTTGCCCAAGACGCACATGCTGCAGGAAAAAAGAAATCACCGAGTGAAAACACCGCGTCAATTAATATTGAGATTTATTCCGTCCGGGAGAAAAGCGGAATTATCCAAGCTACTAAAAAGGGTCGTTCTTGGAAAAGGGGTTTAGTGCGGAAAGCTTTCGTACAAAAAGCAAATTTACTGCTTTACGCTAGAACGCTGGAAGCTTAGAGATAATCAATGAAACCAATAATTTTCTTGGGCGTGCAAAGGGTGAAAAAAGCTCGTAAAGAAGATTTTGCTTCAAATTGCTTCGAAAGGTATTGAATTCACCTCGTCAATTAAGATTGAATTCTTGTAATCACGTGCAAAAAAAGTCCCGTAAAAAACACCGCACAAAGAATAGATTAATGACTTTCCTGATTATTTCTGTTGCCTAATTGGGCAGCGATTATGCTCCACGTAAATCTCGCAATTAATATCAGACGAGTGTAATTACGCCGTGCGCCATTTTGTTTTCTAAATGAGGTATCGTTATAAAAAATGTATTTTTAAGCCCATGTCAGGCACAAGTTTAAAAAGTTTTCAAGTCAAATGTTTAATTTAGGATAAATCACACCTTGTGCAGCATATCGCATTCATCATATTTCTATATTCAAAATATACGTCAAGGTGAAGCTGTATGAAAGCGTGCCAATAACTAACCGATCGAAGGCGTTCGAAAGACGTTCGAGGCGTAAACGTTTCCAACACTTTGAAATGAAATATTCTCGTTAATAACACATATTTCATGCAAACGCCTTTCAATCGGTAGAAAACTCTCTCGTTAACCAAGCGGGTTTCCAGCGCGAGCAGGTTGGCGCCTCGCTAATGATATTACGAAAATACGAAATCGATACACTCACTGACTTTGCAAAAACACAAAATGCTAAAGGAAGAAAAAAAAACAGTTGAAAACTAAGCGAGTGTGAAATTAATGTCATCATCAAATTAGGTTAGTGCGTTATGATAGTTGTAGTTTGAGGTTATACTTTGTTAAAATACAAACACACTAACCTCAAATTATCGTTTCCATTGATATTTACAAAGATGCCGACATAAACGGCAATAATGGAAAAGATGACGCACGCCAGCGCGACCGTAGCGAACTTGTTGACAAACTTGACGCCGATGAACACGATGAAACCCATGACAATTAGCAACCCAGTGCCGTAGACCCGAAAGTTGTTGTACATCGCGCTGGCGTCCTTCGTGAAGTCCCCAAACAGCGATAAACTCGGCGCCATATACGTCTAGATAAAACAAACAAGTACGATATTACACAAAATGGCCGCCGGGAGAAAATGGCGCTCATACCAGCACAATTTCAACCGCGCCCACGATGTACATAGCCGCCGCCAGCGTGGTGCCCGTATAGAACAGCATGCCGACGGCGCCGCCGAATTCCGGGCCGAGCGAGCGCGAGATCATAAAGTAGCTCCCGCCGCCCGGCACCACGCCGTTCGTCGCAATCGCCGACATCGAGATGGCCGTCAGCATTGTCACACAGCAGCACACCAGCACGATGAGGAAGCCCTGCACGGCGCCAGCGGTGCCCACCACCCACGTCAGTCGAATGAAGAGGATTACGCCGAAGATGTTTTGGATACACGGGAGGTAAACGCCGATGAGGGTGCCCATATTAGCGCCGCCGCCGGAGGGCCGTGCGTCGGGGTCAGCCGGCGCCGGTGAGATGGTGTTGGAGTAGTTGGCCAACGAACTGATGAGCGTCGAGATACGTGGACGATCCTCCATCTCTTCCTATAGACGCAAAGCGAGATGAAAACAAAACAAACTAACGGGTTACGGCCGCCATTTTGGTTTGGTAGGCGTCTTCAATACTCACCGAATAGAGGTAGAGGTTCGTCTCGTAGCCGGACATCTTGTCCTGCACGAACGGCTGCTCGTCAGTGCCATCTCCTGCAAACAAACAAAGCTCTAAGTAACGCACTCGAAGAACCAACAAGCAAACACGGAAGGGTTTCAAACGTTCGAGTTTATATAGGAAACCTAGGAAACTTTGCTTTCTTGTTAACACACACACATTCGAGAGCATCCAAGCGGGATGCTGCTTTTTCCGCATGACCACCTCTCTCTTCGCTCGCTTTTTCGGTCGAGGAGCAAACTACTTTTGCCAGTTTTAATGGAAAATTCATGCTCGTGGTGGGCGGCATCAACATAGGGGGCAATAATCTATGCTGTTTTGCTCTCTCGCCTTCTAGTCGAAAGTCTAAAGTAAAACGTAATCCACTTTCTTGCCAGCGAAGCGCAACAAACCGACCTACTGAATTTTTAACAACTTTCTGACATCTTCACATCTTCAATTCGCCATCTTCAAACTTTTTCCTGACACAGCTTACAAAAAATGATTTAAAAATACATGGATACATAAGATAGCAACACTGGAATAGAAGGGCCGATCAATCTTTCAAATGTCAGTCAATTCAAAAAGGAACATGATATGTTATCCACCGAAACTTGCTTCCATTTTCCGATGACAGCACAAACACATCATGCTTACTTGCGTTACAAGCTACGTCACAAAATTTCAAGGTATATCAAAGTTTTCTAAAAAATTAACCTCAAATTAACTTGAGTTAGTTGCATGGCAGAGGTAAAAGTATGAAATTACATCCTAATACCAATATTATAAGTCACCTAAGCTGTGTAAAGCCTAGTTTTTAGGTTAAATCTTGACTGGATGTCTTGGTTGCCTATAGTAGATTAGCCACGCGCGCAAAAAATCCTATCCGATTGTTTCGTGTGCAATTCAGAACGCGGGAGCAACTCATGCGAATAATCAATAATTCATCAACGTAGCGACTCTTGGCTGAGACCTCTTCACTCATTCGCGAGATAAAGACTTCGGACGCTATCTCGTTTAGCGTCCGTTTAACCTGAATTTCTCTGAAATTCAAGCGAATATAGCTGCTGGCAGCCGACGTAGACCGCCATAACTACCCCGTGCCACATTCGCCACTATTGCGCGCCGACCAATCGGCGTCTAGCTCTCGCAAGGCATAAACTTGTTCCTCATCCTTTTACAATTTCATCATCCACAGCCACGACATCGATCCGCATCCGACGACTCCTGAACGTGATTCAACTCTGCCGCACGTAAAACATTAAATTTATCCCTGGCACACCTGTACAATTGTTACAATTTCAAACTGGTGAATGTTCTTGATAAAATATACTTGCAAGGTTACGTTGCGTAAGAGACGCTTTCAAGCGTTTTTGGCAGGTGCTCATCACGCAGTGGAAAAATGTGTTTTTCCATCACGTACCAACTCGACTGTCACGTTTTCCGCGTCGCGCGAATTTCGCGTTTTTCCCTTCGCCGTGCCAAGTTCATGAATGTTTTATTAGTGAGCATTCCTTTTTGGCACGTACGCCTCGCGAGCTTTACATTAATGTACCCGAACGGTACGCATATTTTGCGATTAAAACAGAAACACACAAAAAAACAACAGTAATAATACCGGCGGGCTATGAAAATAAAATTTTCCAATTTACGCGCTCGCTGTTTACTTAGCGCATGAAACAATTAATTTAATAGGTATTAAAAAGCGTTCTAAAACGTTTTAGGTAGCCGAAGAGTTAATTTATCAAAGTGCTCGTAAAAACGCCGTCAATTAAAATTCAAGTCTGAACTAGCGCGAACCAGTATGTATTACACTGTAAACACAATGATGACATGAAGCAAATAAAAGAAACAAGCGGCAATGGCGGCCATTTTGATGTCTGTGCAACATGTGGTAATTTAAGGCGAAAATGTAAGTAAAAGTAAAATTTACAAAAGAGCAGTCGTTAAGTTTAGTTGTTTGTTGTTTACCAGTCGCACGCGTTTGTTTTAAGACACATTAACGATAATCGATGGGCATTAACCAAGACACGACGAGAGTTACGAGATTGCGACCATTTAGAAGTCGAGTTAAGTGACATTTTAATGTTTGTTTACACGCACGAGTTATGACGAGCGAAAAAGCTCCAGGGTAGAAGTGGAAGGAAGTGATGAAAGCTTGCAGAACAAGTGGCGCTGCAAGCGTCAACCGGAAGTCAAGTGCTAGATGTTGCAGATTAAAGTGCATTAAATAGTTGAGATAAAAACTAAAAAAAAATTTCGAAATATTTTAATTTAACAGAAGTAAAGTGAAAAAAAATGCTTTGATGCTTTGAAGAATTTAATTTAAATTGTAACATTTTGTGTGCAAAAAGCTCACTTTGTGCGTTAAAAATTCAGCACAACACGACTGCCGAATTTCGGCTGAAATATTCATACGCTCTCTCAACAGTTGTCGACATTGTCGCGTTTCGTGGCCGAGCATTCATTATAAACATCCCCCTTGCGTATCCAGCGCTCCCTGTCAACATTCAGCCGAAAAGTAAAGTTTCGCCTTTTATCTTGTGCCAGAGAAAAAACGTTAATAAGCGTCGACGTCGGCGCGGCTAGCGCGTAAAGAACAAACTTGAAATTATTTTAGAATTTAAATGAATTCACAAAGAGTGAGAAAGTCCGCAAGTCGTTAACTCACCGTCGGCGTGCTCCTCATCCCTTCGGTTTCTCATGAGGTCAAAGAAAAAAGCTCAAATAAAACCAAATGAAAAGTGCATTCAAGCGGAGTTGACACAGAAATCTTGATAAGAGATAACACCAAACACTAAACTTTAGAAGATATTTCACACAGAGATAAAAATAATTTATTAATTTGTTAATTAATAGTTGTTTTTAAAGTGTTTTGTCACTGTGACGTGGCCAGACACAATCGCGGAACTGAATCGAACGCAAAACTGAACTGATATCGGGCTTTTACGCTTGAGGAATTTATTAGCAAAACCCTCGTTATCGTCAAACAATATTTGCAAATCTACAACCTAATAGCCGAGTAAATAAACAATCAAACATGTCATTACCAGAGATTATCTCCTCAAGAATACTTATTTTCTAAGAAACAAGTGTAAACAGACCTTTGACATTATTAAACAAACAAATATACTGCGATAATTAAAATTTGTGAAACAATTTGCCTTCATTTGCACAGATACTAATTGTAAATTGTAATTAACAAGTCTTAGTGTAGGCAACACGCAATACAATCTATACATGCATTAAACCCACCTTATCCAAGGATATCCGCTAGAATCGCGTGAATCGACACAATTCGATTGTGGTTAATTTCAATAGATACGAATTCCAAAAGCTGAGCAATCAACACACCATGTTTTGGCACAGCGGGGTTAGTTTAATTGAAATTCGCGAGCGCACAAAATCAAATTCAAATCGAAAGCCATGAAGCAAATCCAGGCCGGCTTGAAGAGGGCACACGTTGATTGATAGCTACCTATTTGGGGTGATTTGCTCGCTTCTTGGCCGGCCATTCGATTTGCCAATGCGTCGGTATGCAAATCGCAGACCTCTGGAATTTACAATTCCAGTCTTGAGACGTCTGATCAACGCGTTAATGAAGATATAATGGACGTTTAGCTTAAACCATCCTAAACGTTGCCTAAATTACAATCCCCTTCAAGAATAGATTCGTAAATGTCGAGATTTATTCAATCGTGAAATATTAAACACGTTTTTCAACAAGTTGCGGGCGAGGAAGCGAAAGATTCGCATTTAAATGGCGGCGTTGCGGACAGTAACGCTGACGTGAAGTGATAAAATATTCAATATTTAGTTTATTCAGTATCCACTCGGGGAAAAACGGATCACGCTGCACCGCCGGCACGACGTTGTTCAAACACTCTGCACTTGTTCCAGCCCGAGTATGGTTAATACAATATTGACAAATTGAGTCACTAGAGACGCCACTGCTGCTGTCACGGAATAATTCGAGGTTATGTTCAATTTATTTCAATTTATTTCGAATCTTCGCAATGTAATAAAACCAAACTAAAGAAAACTCGGATAAATCTCAATTTAATTCTGTAGAGATTTATTTTTAAATGTAGGTTATGTTGGGTTAAAGATAGGTTATCTTTGATGTGAAGCGCGACGCGTACAACTAATTTTCGATGCATAAAGCGTCGAATTTAAAGTAAACTTTTGAGTTACTTGTCTATTTATAAAATTCATTTCCGTCTCCAACTCTCAGAATTACTGTCCTTCACCTAGAAAATGTAAATTTCGGCTGTTAATAAGTAGAAACGTTTTGCGGTGCAATCTGCGATGATGATCATCGGAGGTGAAGCTGCGGTTGCTAAGGGTAGATCCAAAATGCGGATTTCATACGAACTAATCTCGCGTTTGGCTTACGGTGCGTCGACGAGGGCTTTGCATTCGAAACCCACTGGAGCCGAACCGTTCTTCACCCACGCTCAAGATGGCGGCGTGCACACAAGCGATGGCGAAACGGTAAAGTCGCCGGATTATCCCTAGTTCATCGAATACGTGCCGAGCGCTGTGCAGCGCAAATAATTGGAGATAAATGTTGATAATGTTCACCGGCGTAGGGTTTTGATCCGGTTGGGGAAACATTGAGATGTGTGTTTGTGGACCATTTTGTTATTTTCAGTAAACAGTCGTTTATTAATCGTGTTTGTCAATCAATGGATTTAATCTTTTTAGAAATGTTTTGCGCATGCGTTTATTCTTCAAAGGATAATACAAAAAGACAAAAAAAAAGTAAAAAGAACAAAGAATTTATAAATAAATTGTTGGTGGGTGGTTTTATTGCACTCGGGGAAAAAAATTGCTGAAAGCTAAAAAAGTGCTAATTAAAAATTGTCAGCGCTGCACCTCGGTTAAGCGACGCTGCATTTTCCCGCCCGCCTAGCCTTTCATGTCGTTTAATTGCTCTATTTGCGCGCAGGCAAGCGAAGCTTTTTAAAAATGCAATACGAAAAAAGGCAGAGTCAATTACTGAGCGTAAAGTTGCTCATGCTGCTCGATCAATATTTACATTATTTACAAAAAA